TGTAGGCTGGCACTCCCCTGATTCATGTCTAAAATCCATATATGAGTGAGTACATACCATGTTTTTCTTTTTGTGACTGGCTTACCTCACTCAGAATGGTTTCTTCTGGTGTCATCCATTTGCCTGCAAATTTCAAGATTCCATTTTTTTTCCTGCTGAGTAGTACTCCATTGTGTAAATGTACCACATTTTCTCTATCCACTCTTCAGTTGAGGGGCATCTAGGTTTCTTCCAGGTTCTGGCTATTATAAATAATGCTATGAACATAGTGGAAAAGACGTCCTTATTGTGTGAATGTGCATCTTTTGGGTATATGCCTAAAAGTGGAATTGCTGGGTAGACTGATTCCCATTTCCTAAGGAATCTCCATACTGATTTCCAAAGTGGCTGTACAAGTTTGCACTCCCACCAGCAGTGTAGGAGTGTTTCCCTTTCTCCACATCCTCTCCAGCATAAACTGTTTTTAGAGTTTTTGATTTTAGCCATTCTGACAGGAGTAAGATAGTATCTCAGAGTTGTTTTGATTTTCATTTCCCAGATGGCTAGGGATGTTGAACACTTTCTCAAGTGTCTCTCAGCCATTTTATACTCCTCTATAGAGAATTCTCTATTTAGTTTTACACCCCACTTTTTAATTGGCTCCTTTGGTGTTTTGGAGGCTTGCTTCTTGAGTTCTTTGTAAATTTTGGAGATCAACCCTCTGTCACATGTAGGGTTAGTGAATATCTTTTCCCATTCTATGGACTGCCTTTTTGTCTTGTTGACTGTGTCCTTTGCCCTACAGAAGCTTCTCAGTTTCAGGAGGTCCCATTTACTAATTGTCGATCTTAGTGTCTGTGTTACTGGAGTTATGTTCAGGAAATGGTCTCCTGTACCAATTTGTTCAAGGGTACCTCCCACTTTCTCTTCTACAATGTTCAGTGTGATTGGATTTATGTTGAGGTCCTTGATCCATTTGGACTTAAGTTTTGTGCATGGCGATAGACATGGATCTATCTGCAGTCTTCTACATGCCAGCATCCAGTTATGCCAGCACCATTTGTTGAAGATGCTTTCTTTTTTCCATTGTATAATTTTAGTTTCTTTGTCAAAGATCAGGTGTTCATACATGTATGTGTTAATATCAGGGTTTTCAATTTGATTCCATTGTTCTGTCTAATTTTGTGACAATACCAAGCTGATTTCAGGACTATAGCTCTATAATACAGCTTGAGGTCAGGGATGGTGATGCCTCCAGACATTGCCTTGTTGAACAGGGTTGTTTTGGCTATGGACCATTATCTTAAATCACTTTATATATAAATTTTCACATGAAGGATAGAGATACACTAAAAATGGAAAATGACCAAACATGAGATAAAAAGTCTAGAACGTAAACATAGTCATGAAGGAATGAAAACCTCTAAAATTTTTCTAATTTCAATTCTTTTTCCTTATTTCTAACAATACTTTTTCATTTATTTTACATCCAGGGAACAGTTTCCATTCCCTCCTCTCCTCCTACTCCCCCCTCCTCCTCCCCTCTACTTCCCATGCACTCCTCCTACATCTCCCTTCAGAAGGAGGCAGACTTTGATGGGTGTAATCAAAGCATGGCATATCGCGGTGAGGCATGAGCAAGCTCCTCCCCTGTATCAAGCGGGGCATGGCAATCCAGCATGAGGAGTAGGTAGCCTAAAGCCAGCTCAAGTGCCAGGGACAGGTCCACTCCTGTACAGGGATCCTAATCCATCCCACTGCAAGGAGCCCCACCAACAGACCAAGCTACAACACTGTCACACACATGCAGAGGGCCTATGTTGGTCCTGTGCAGGCTCCCTAGATGTTGGTTCAGAGTCGGTAGGCTCTCATGAGTTCACTTCAGCTGTCCTGGTGGGTTCCTCCATCATGATCTTGACTCCCCACTGGATCACGCAATCCCTCCTCCCTCTGTTCAAGAAGACATCCAGCATTCTGCCCAGTGCTTGCCTGTGGATCTCGGCATCTGCTTCAATAAGTTACTGGATGAAGGCTCTCTGATGACAATGAGGGTAGCCACTCATCTGATTACAGCAGATGACCAGTTCAGATACCCACTCTGCTTTTGGTAGGAGTCATAGCTAGTGTCTTCCTGTGGATTCTTGGGAGTTTCCTTCACACCAGGCTTCTCCCTACCCTGAAATGCCCCCATCCACATATCTCTTTCATTACTCTCCCCCTCCTTTTGTGGTCCAAGACATTCAACCCAATCCCCCATGTTACTAGTCCCTGTTTTGACCTCCCCCATCCCTACTTTATCCAGGGGATCTATTTAACTCTTCTTTCCAGGGAAACCTATTCATTCCTTGTTCAGTCCTCCTTGTTACCTAGCCTCTCTGGGGCTATGTATTGTAGCCTGGTTATCTAATATCCATTTATATCTAATATCCATTTATAAGGAGACTACACCATGTTTGTTTTCCTGAGTCTGGGTTACCTCACTCAGAATTTTTTTCTACTTGCATCCATTTGCCTGTAATTTCATGGAGTATCCATTCTTCAGTTCTAGGACATCTAGGTTATTGCCAGGGTCTGCGTACTATGAATAACACTGCTATGAACCTAGTTGAGCAAGTGTCCTTGTGATATGATTGAACATCCTTTGGATATATGCCCAAGATTGGTATAGCTGGATCTTGAGGCAGATTGGTTCCCAATTTTCAGAGAAACTGCCAAATTGATTTTCTAAAGCGGCTGTACAAGTTTGCACTCCCACCAGAAGTCGAGGGGTGTTCCCTCTGCTCCACATTCTCTCCAATGTAAGCTGTTACTAGTGTTATTGTTCTTAGCCATTCTGACAGGTGTAAGATGCAATCTTGGAGATGTTTTGATTTACATTTCCCTGATCACAAAGGATGTTGAACAACACTTTAAGTGTATCTGGGCCATTGGTGATTTTTTCTAATGAGAAGTCTATGTTTAGCTCTTTACTGCATGTTTAATTGGATTATTTGGATTATTATTGGATTATTAGTGTCTAGTTCCTTGGGTTCTATACAGATATGGGGTTGGTGAAGAACTTTTCCCATTCTGGGGGCTGCCCTTTTGTCTGATTGACAGTGTGATTCGCTTATGGCAGCCTGTCCGTTTCAGGAGATCCCATTTATTAATTTTTGCTGTATGTCTGTGCCTCTGTGTCTGTGTTCTACTCAGGAAGTTGTCTTCTGTGCTAAGCCATTCAAGGCTACTTCCCACTTTCTCTTCTATCAGGTTCACTGTAACTGGATTTATGTTGAGGTCTGGGATCCACTTGGACTTGAGTTTATTCCAGGGTGGCAGATATTGGTCTCTTTGCATTCATCTGCATGCTGTTATCCAGTATTGCCAGCACCATTTGTTGAAGATGCTTACTTTTTTCCATTGTAGAATTTTTATTTGTCAAAAATGAGGTGTTCATAAGTGTGTGGATTAATATCAGGGTCTTTAATTCAGTTTCATTGACCCACTTGTCTGTTTTTCTGCCAATAACATGTTGTTTTTATTACTATAGCTCTATAGTACAGCTTGAAGCTAGGGATGGTGATACCTCTGCAAGTTCTGTTACTATACAGGACTATTTTTGTTATCCTTTTTTGTTTTGGTTTTTCCTTATGAATTTGAGTATTGTTCTATTGAGTTCTGTGAAAATTTTTGTTGGAGTCTTGATGGGAATTGCTTGGAATCTGTATTTTTTTGGTAATATTGTCATATTTCCATTTGTGCATCGAATGAGAAGATCAAGTTTTTTTTTCTTTCAGTTTATTTATGTAGTGGATTATGTTCACTGATTTTCCTATGTTGGACCATCCCTGCATTTCTGGGATGAAGTCTACTTAATTATGGTGGATAATTGTTTGAATTTGTTCTTAGATTCAGTTTGTCAGGTTTTTTTTTTGCTTTTCTTTTTCATTTTTAAAATTAGAAACAAGCTTGTTTTGCATGTCAATCCCAATTCCCTCTCCATTCCATCCTCCCCTGCCTCCCCCACCCTCTATCCCATCCCCTTTCTGCTCCCCAGCGAGAGTGAGACCTCCCATGGGGAATCTTCAAAGTCTGTCATGTCATTTGGAGCAAGGTCTAGGCCCTCCGCCATGTGCCTAGGCTGAGAGAGTATCCCTCTATGTGGAATAGGTTCCCAAAATCCATTCGTACACTAGGGATAAATACCGATCCACTACCAGAGGCCCCATAGATTGTGCAGGCCTCCTAAGTGACAGCCACGTTAAGCAGGGCTGGATCAGTCCTATGCTTGCTTCCCATCTATCAGTCTGAGGTTCATGAGCTCAGGTAAGGTGTTTCTGCATCCTGGTCTTGACCCCTTTGCTCATCACCCCTCGCTTTCTGCATCTGGATTCCAGGAGTTTGGCTCAGTGTTTAGCTGTGAGTGTCTGCTTCTGCTTCTATCAACTACTGGATGAAGTCTCTAGAATGACACACAAGGTAGTCATCAATCTCATTATCAGGGAAGGGCATTTAGGATAGCCTTTCCACTATAGCTTAGATCGTTAGTTGGGGTCATCCTTGTAGATCTCTGGACATTTCCCTAGTGCCAGATTTCTCTTTAAACATATTGAAAGGTTCAGGCACTATGCTGGCCTGCTATGTTACTTGGCAAGATGCACTCAGACAGAACTCTGGCCAGCCCAAGAGTTCTGTGAGAACCACACAGGTGCAAAGGACCCCTTTAAAGGACTGAGCCCCACCCACTTACTCTTACTCTTGTCTTCCTCTCCATCTCCTCTCTTATTCTCGTCTCTTATTTTCTCTTACTCTCACCATCTCATCCCCTCCCTCCCTCCCTCCCTCCCTCCCTCCCTCCCTCCCTCCCTCTCTCTCTCTCTCTCTCTCTCTCTCTGTCTCAGTTCTAAACAGGTTAGTTACCTCTCACCCCCCTTTCCCTCCCTGTCCACCAATAAAACTCCACATGGGATCATTGAGTCACGGTTTGTGTCTCGTTACTGGGTAAACCTAGACATTTTAACAACATTGGTTCCCTGACCCAGACAGGCTCTCCCTGTGACTCCGGCAGGTGACCATGCAACTTTGGACCAACGGCCCTCTTTCCATCGACGCTGAATTTTACATCCAACAGCATCTGCGATTTGGTAAGGACCCCCTCTAGGTTGGCGTAAACGTTTCCCTGAACCCTAAGGGCTGACGGTTGAGCATCCAGCACCCTCAAGGTGTTCTTGGAAACATGGAGGGACACACACAACCACGGCCTTCAAAGTCATGGTTGACCCCCATGATCTGACAATCATTTTCGGTTTGTTTTCCACGGGCACGGCCTATTGGTAATTTTTTTCAGCTCCTTTCTGAGCCTTTGGTGGCTTTTCGCCACTCAGACTCTGGTTCCTTTTTTTTTTCCGGGTAGTTTTTCTGCCCTGGCTAGACTCTTGGGCTGACGAGTTCTGAAGAGTTGATCTCGCCATTTTCTTTCCTTTAGACCTGGCTCATGGGTAACAAACCGACAAAGAAAATTGACCCATCCTCTCCTCTGGGATGCCTGTTAATGCCTTAAGTCATCCAGACTCACTTATCCTTGGGTTCTATACAGATGTGGGGTTGGTGAAGAACTTTTCCCATTCTGGGGGCTGCCCTTTTGTCTGATTGACAGTGTGATTTGCTTATGGCAGCCTGTCCGTTTCAAGAGTCCCATTTATTAATTGTTGCTCTGTGTCTGTATATTTTATGGGACTTCTCTAGTCATTGCCAGCGATCTGGTCAATGGAAGGAGTTGCACTATGTTTAAACTTTTCTCTACTTCTCTACTAATCATTCTCTTCAACATTCTTCCTCTAAAACTCATTCTTCTAGCTTTAAAAGCTAACCCTAAAAAAAAGCGCCAGCTGGTCACAGAGGCTTCCTGCCACTTCCCATGGTGGCTAAACCTGTCTCAGGGCAGGAACCGCCTTCCACCTGGGAGTGTCCTGTTTTGTCTCTCCCCAGCTTTGCTTCTACCTTATTTCTTCTCCATACAGATGCCAGCAGCTTACAATGGCCTGGCTTGGGTTAGTGTCTGCTCGGGACACTAAGGAATGTGCCTATGGAGGCTGCCATCTTGGCGATCTTAACCATGCAACCTAACGTGATGCCTAGCTTGGAAATGTGTTTACTGAGGCCGCCATGTTTACCATGTGACCTAGCTGTAGGCACGCCCACTCAGTCCAGCCAGCTTCCGCCGGCCAAGCCTGACAGATACAATTCATTTACGTTTTGTCTCTTCTGTGCTTTTATTTTTGCCTCTAATTTCTTCTTTCACTGACTCAGTTTTCCATGGCTTGTTTATGGAATACTGTGTCTTTCCAGGGTCCCCTGTTCTATCTACAATAAATCTTCCTTCTCGTTACTGTCTCTTTAAAACCTGTCTGTTTCCTACAAGTGTGGGTCAAACACTTTTACCCAATCCTGTTTAATGTATCTATATGTATATGTAAAAAATAAGGTAACTTTAATTCAACTATACTAAATATCAAATATTTCTAATTTGTTATATCTTTAAGTGATGATAAACATTTAAAGTTATAAGGGTCTATTTTAAGTTAGCAAAATATTTATAACACCTAGTTGTTCCTGTAAGCTGTTTACAAAGGTAAAGCTATTATAAAAGGGATTTTTCTGTAGTCACCAATGTACTTAAGATAAATCACTAAAGATAAATTTTGTCTACTAAGATATACTAAACAGACAAACAGTCCTCAAATGCTCAGAGATCTAGAGAACATGGCATTTAAATGCTTTATTAAAAAGATTTTTATAGCCGGGCGGTGGTGGTGCACGCCTTTAATCCCAGCACTCAGGAGGCAGAGGCAGGCAGATCTCTGTGAGTTTGAGGCCAGGCTGGACCAACAGCCTCCAAAAAGCTTTTTATAACAGAGACAGGCCAGCTGCTGGCACTACCCCATTTCCTCCAAAAAGACTGGTGGACACTGAAGAAACTCCACCCACAAAAGTGGCAATGCTGGCCACTGAGCAACCCTGCCCTTCACCTCAACTGCTTCAAAGGACTCTTCAGGCCGTGAACAAGAGGACACTGGAATCGACTTTCTCCATGTTGCTTGGGTAAACGGTAGGAAAGTCTTCCTAAAAGTCCCCAGTCCACGGGTCTCACTGTCAGCAAAAGGCAGGTGTCTTTGGAGCCTCTGACTTTAACAACTGTGGAGGACCTTGGGGGTGGCTGTCCATGCAGTCAGCTACTAAGTCTCTCATTCTCCAATCTCAGGTAAAATCTTATCCTTCTCAAGAACTCTGATGCTTTTGACAGCTAGTAGCTTTGCCAGCTTAAAGTAACAGACAAGGCAAAGCTCTGTCATAAAACAGATTTCAGGAACAGGTATTCTAAGGTTTATCTATATAAGATGGTAATGTAATAAATTAAGTTGAGACATTAAAAAAAAGTATGTTCTAGGTTTCTCTTTCATTATACTACTTTTCACAGTCCTAACATTAATCAATAAAGTTCTGATAAGCTACTAATCTAACTCCAACAGAGTGTTAAACAACTATACCACTACATGATCATAACTACAAGCTCAAAATTAAGGTGCTTTTCATTATGCTAAAAATATCTGTCAGTTTAAAAAATGTTAATGCTTTCAGGCACGTCATTTCTAACACAAATATGCTGCTGATATGTCTAATACTTACGTTTTCACAAACTCAAAGGATTCTTGTAAGTTCCAGAAAGCCAAATTGGACCCAGCCAAATGGGTCAGATTCACTCCAGATATTATTCAACCTCTCCCTGGTCCTGGGACTCCCTTCCCTCATCTTGGGACCCCTCGGGGACCCCTCCCTCATCTTACAATCTTCTTCTCAAATATCAGGACCTAAGAAAAAAAATTCTAAACTTAACCTTGTCCTCTACTCTGCTAACATCTTGCCAGGTCTGAGAGGCGTCAGAGAGTCCCATACAGCCAGGACTGCGATGGAGCAACCAGCTACCCCAGGACGTGGCAGCACCACGGCTTTCTCAGGTTCCCCAAAGATGGTCAACACCTTCCAGGTCAGCAGAAAGCAGTCTTGAGAACGACGCCCTTATTCCCTAACCTGCACGGCTAACACCTCGTCTTTTTTAATAAGTAAAGGTGCTGGCCTGCCTGTCACCTGGCAGAATGTACTCAGGCAGCACTCTGGTCAGCTCAGGGTTTCATGAGCACTAGTCTGCAAGCAGCACCATGCTGACTCCACCCCCCCCACAACAGGTGTGGCCACGTTATCACTGCGACACTCTTTGTGGGGCTGCGTAAAGGCTCAGTACGCATGTGCAAGCTTCCCCTTTTAAGTGAGCGTCTCCCCGTGGCCCCTTTTTCACTCTCCCCCTCTCGTCTCTCTCCTGTCTTCTCTCCCCCTCTTGCTCTACTGTGCTGTAATAAACTATGGTTAATGTAAACAAATTTAATTTATAATTTAAATTATAATTTTAATACATAATTATAATTATGTCTTATAATAATATGCCTTAAATAATTATACTATACAGTTAAGATTATTCTAATTAATTATGTGCCTACTTAAGAGACTACTCTAACATGAGCTATAATAATTTCATAATTTATAATTTCATATAATTACAAATAATTATTTCAGCTCACTGGTACAGAGCCCGCCAAGCATGTGCAAGGCTCTAGGTTGAACTAGGGATTGGAGCAGGGGCAGACTACAGCTCATATGTGCAAAGCAGTAGGGAGCACTCCCCCCACCCTGCCCAGTTTGGGCTCAGTTGCATACTCTTCCTTATTTACTTCTTCCTCCTTTATTGATGTAAGCCAAGCTATTCTATACACTATATACTTATGAAGGCTACCATACAGTCTTGGAATAGGTTTAATTTTTCTTCATTGTGATGCCTACATATGGTTTTTAATTAAGTATAAACATTTGTAAGAAGTGCCTCCGTAGTTAAGAGTATTTTCATACATGAAATAAAAACAAATCCTTTAAGAATCTGTAAGAAACAAGATATCTTTCCACAATAAAACAAACTTTCGCGGTAACAGAACATTTGCTGCTGCTGATTGATTATATTCCAGTTCCAAGAGCAGGGTCACATTAACTGCCCTGGCTGGAACTCAGCACTGGGAAACCCACCTTCCGATTCATACTTCACTCCATTTAACAAGCATTTGTTGAACATCTATCATATGACAGGAACTACACAGGCTTTAGTTATGCACATGCACAAAAAGACCCAATACATACAGAATTCAGTGAGCTTGCAGTCAGTGTGGATGGAAGAGAACAGGGACTGCCCAGGTGAGAGAGGAAGTCATCGAGGGATTTTCAAATAGCGGCTGTAGATAAGCAACATGAGTTTGAAGAGCCCGGAAAAATTTGAGAAATACTGATGGCCATTTGTAAGTTTAAACTGTAGGTTAACAGTTGTTTTGAGAAGCACAGCCTTGATAAATCATCAACTAAATGTATTTCTTAGGCTCTCTCTTGTTTTGGACATCTTACAACTTGTTCAGAAATAATACTAATGTGTGGTGATATATTGTTTATGATTTAATAAAGCTTGCCTGGGGATCAGAATGCAAAGCTAGTCACAGCCATAGAAGCTGGTCAGTGGTGGTGCACACCTTTAATCCCAGGACTCAGGAGACAGAGGCAGATGGATCTCTGTGAGTCCAAGACCACCCAGGGCTACAAGAGAGTGAATCAGTCTCAAAGAAACAGAGCTCACTCCTTTAATCCCAGCACAAGAGAGGTCTATAAGGAAGAAGCAAATGGTCTCATGTGAGACTCACTTTCCAGGCACAGAGAAAACAGGATCTCCATTCCAGCCTTGGTAAAAGTAAGAGCTACTGGCTGGCTCCTTTGCTTTTCTGGTCTTCTGCTTCAACCCCAGAATCTGTCTCTGTGCTTTTATTATTCCTGCTGCAGTAATGATGACACAGAGAAAGGGTGCGATTCTCACAGAGGTCTCTTTGAACATTCTTCATAAAAATCAAGTCTCATTCAAAGATCTTCCGAAGTCAAGACATAAACTAGTAGTCTGCAACTTGACTCTCCACCACTGTTACCTACTGGGATCCATAACCTTGCATTACTTTCCTCAACACTGTTCCTGCAAACTGTGTGACAAAAAGAATATATTCTATTTCCTTAGAGTAATATTATTTACTGCCCCCCCCGAGGACCAGGATTCAGTTCCCAGCACCCACATGGTCACTTACAACCATCCATTAATTCCAGTTCCAAGGGTTTAACACCCTCTTCTGACCTCTACAGGCATCAGACAAACATAGACACATGGACACACAGACACACACACACACACACCTGCAAGCAAACAAAATAAATGGCAGATTCCATCTGCATCTGACCTTCTCTTCCTACTGTCTGCCTGGCTCGGCTGCCTGGGCTAAGGTTAGAGGTGAGTGGGGACTCATCTGTCCTGCACAGCTTCACAGCCTCTCCTGTGTCACTTTCACACTGCACTGTAACTGTCACGTTCCTGAGAACGCCAAGAGGTCTGTGGGAATGGGACCTGAGTTCTATCAGAGGTCTGTGGGAATGGGACCTGAGTTCTATCAGAGGTCTGTGGGAATGGGACCTGAGTTCTATCAGAGGTCTGTGGGAATGGGACCTGAGTTCTATCAGAGGTCTGTGGGAATGGGACCTGAGTTCTGTCAGAGGTCTGTGGGAATGGGACCTGAGTTCTGTCAGAGGTCTGTGGGAATGGGACCTGAGTTCTGTCAGAGGTCTGTGGGAATGGGACCTGAGTTCTGTCAGAGGTCTGTGGGAATGGGACCTGAGTTCTATCAGAGGTCTGTGGGAATGGGACCTGAGTTCTGTCAGAGGTCTGTGGGAATGGGACCTGAGTTCTGTCAGAGGTCTGTGGGAATGGGACCTGAGTTCTGTCAGAGGTCTGTGGGAATGGGACCTGAGTTCTGTCAGGATCTGGAACGGGGCCTCACAGCCAGCACCCAGCATTTGTAACACGAGTTAAGAGAAAACCACAGAAATCTGAAGACAACTGGAATAGCAGGAGGAGGGCTGGCCACCTTGGTTATTCTAACTCCAAGTCTAACTCTTGCCTGCTAAGCAAAGGAGAAACTAAGTTTCTGTTATATAGTGCTCCTCCAAGAATCACAGCAATATGTGCACTTAGAGTTTAAAATAATGACACTGACTATTCAGTGACAACCAGAATTCACAAATACAAATAAGTATTAGGGCACTTTGCCAAGTTACTTATTAAATTACAGGAATCAAGCTAGAATCATTTTGTTTAATGCATTCCTAAAAATTCACAAAAGTCATGCCTGTAAACCCAGAACACGGAAGTCAGAGACAGGGAAGACTGCAAGTCCAAAGGTAACCTGGGCTGCTAAGTGAGCTCTAGGCTAGCCTGGGGTCTTGTTTTAAAGAAAATTACATTATTGAAAATAAGTCAGAAATCACAAGGGAACACACACACGTGCGTGCACACACAAACACACCCACCATTGTTAAGGTAGAAAGTACTCTATATGTTTACATTGCTTTCCTTTGTGGAGCCAGGACAAGTCAACACTGGCAACACGGTTTTACCTGTTTGGTGTTTTGTCGTCTACTATAGCATGCATATCCTATCTACAAACTTCTCCTCTCAAACATGGTAAGAGAATGAATGACACACGGTGAACGATGCCTTGAGGAACTTGGAAGGAGGCTATAGGAAAAATGGCAGAGGGCCTTTTACCTCAGGGGCATTTGTTCTCTTGGACTGTTCTCGGGCGTATTTCGTGCCTCCTGTGACACACATCTATATTCAATTACAAGATACGTTTATTCTTGTTGGATGTGAGAACACAGCTACTGAACCCAATCTGGTCAGTGTGCCCTGAATCTGGAGATGGCCTTCTGCTTTGCTTTCACAATGTTCCCACATACCGTTGGCAGAAGTTTTTGTCTCACCAGCAGCTCCCAAATAAATACACGGAGACTTACATTAATTATACATGCTCAGCCAATAGCTCAGGCTTGATGCTAGCTAACTCTTACATATAAATTAACCCGTATCTCTTACCTATGCTTTGCCACGCGGCTTGGTACCTTTTCTCAGTATGGCCTGCCCATCTTGCTTCTCTCTGCGTCTGCTCACCACTCCTCTGACTCCACCCCTCTTCCCATCATTCTCAGTTTGGCTCTCCCACCTAACTATATCCTGTTCAGCTACTGGCCAGTCAGCTTCTTTACTAAACTAATCACAGTGACATGTACTCACACTGTGTAAAGGAATTTTCCACAAGTTATAGTCTTAGAACTCTGTCAGGCAACTGTGTTTAAACTGCTCTGTTCTGAGAAAGCTCTGGGAAAGGGCTGCTGTTAATATTTAGTCTGTGCTCACTGGCGTTTATTTACATGCTTTTCTAAACTCAAACAACCTTCCTCGGATCGTTGCTTTGCCTCAATTGTGTATAAACAGCACTGACACTGGAGTCAGGCTGCTACAGCATCAGCCTGTCGGCTGCCCATTCCTTCAGAGCCTCAGACCAGTGCAGCAGACAGGATCGCATAAACCGAGGAAAGGTGACAAGTGCCTCAACAGTCCTGAAGGAAAGGCTGTGAGAGGACATGAGGACCCCGCAGAGGGAGGCAGGCAAGAGTTAACACGGGGCTAAAAGGAAGAAAGCCCCAGCACCTCATAGTGAGTTGATACATCATTTCCTAAGAGAGAATGGTGCTGCAATGTCTGAAGCCCAGTTGCAAGAGCATTGGGATTTAATAGCAAAATATGATCCTTGGTTTCCTGAAAGGGGCACTCTAGATCAAATTAAAGAAAATACAGGGAAAGTCCAGAGACAAGGAGAAAGTATTCCAGTGCAATTCTAGATGACTTGGGCATGGGTCCCTATTGTAATACAAACAATAAGCAGTAACAAGCCAAAGACTGACAAATTCTTTGCATGACTATGAGCCAGATAACGAAACACAAGGGGGAAATAAAGAGTCTTACAAGCTAGAAAGTTTTTCCAGTGCAAGGTTGGAAGTGAACGAGTAGAGCAAAATCCAAAGCAAAAATGCTGGCTGCAGTCAAGGACAAGGGCTCCTGGCTGTCCACTCTCTGCCTGAAATATTATGTCCTCCTCTATCTGAGGACTACAAGGACGGCCAAAACAAGTGGGAGAAGGGGGAAGATGACGTGCAGTCATCCACGAAAGGAGCACCTTTGCTTTCTGGGAGGGAGGATGCATGGCATAAGTTACCAAATTCCAGGCAAAGACAGAGGACCCTTCTAAAACTAGACAGGAGCCTGATGAGCCCGATCAGTCACCTGATGGCTGACTGGGAGGCGGAAACGCGTATTGTTAAACAGCTGGCATATGAGAATGCTAATGCTGCATGCCAGGCTGCTGTCCGCCTTCAGAAAGAAAGGAGACATTAACGACTGTATCCACCTCTGTGCTGGTAACTCTGGCTACAGCCCTCCAAGGACAGACAATGTCTCAACTACCGGCAGTCATTCAACAAGGAAAAAGGAATGAATAATGACAAGTAGTCCAACTTCATATCAAAAGTTTGTTGCTACTGCTTTAAAAAGAGCTAAACTGCTGTTTCCTCTTGCTTATAGTAAACATAATGTTTTCTGCTTCCTACAAAAAAATAAAATGCTAAAAGATTTGTTTACAAAAATAAAAATGGGATTAACCCTTTACATTTGTATTCCTCATTAACAAAACTTTTGTTAAATACTTCAGATGACCCAACAATGGTTTCTGCTATTTTATGCCCTGTAAAATATTTTAAAAACTAACAATGCTCCTACATACATTGCTAAACCTTTCTAAGAATTTTGCAAATAGCTTGCTATAACCCACAGTCATATAACCCACATTCCATATAACCCTCAGTCAATCTTTTGTAGAAAAACAACTTAGATGTTACTTTAAAATAAAGGAGGGGGAGTAGGGTCGCATGACTATTTCTCACAATATTATATCTTTTATTTTATATACTTAATTTAAAAACAAAAATGGGGCAGGGATGAACCCCTCCAAAACAACTGAGGCTCACAGTTCTTTGGAGGATGAGAGGCCTCAGATGAAGGGATTAATGACTGAGAGGGAATCTCATCCTCCTGCACTTCCCTTTGCTCACTGAGAGGAAAACAACATTCCTGCTTATGTCAATGACTCAGCTCCTGGGGGCCCCCCGCTGCTAATCATATTGCTCCCCAAGCAAAGATGGGCACATGACAATTTAAGTACTGATGTTCAAGCCTTGATGATATTGACTGTTCAACATTCACTGTTAGATAAACTTCCCTCCTCCAAAGCTTATTTCCACCTTACTGTAGACATTTACAGACATGTTATGGGTATTCTCACACAGTTAAAAACTATTAGTGCAGCTTTTACTAGCAGGAATTTTTTATAATTCTATTATGAATGACAAATTCAACACATTACTGAAATCCCTTTATAACCCACAAGGTCAGACATTTGTAGAATATACACATTCACTCTTAAACAACTTTCAAGAAACAAAAAGGGAGGAACTAATTCTTGAGATGCTGTTGCTATTACCTAAATTTTAGAAATTCTGTTCCAGTGGGAACGTATTGCCTAGGCTTCCCGCCAGTTTTGGGATGCTCAGCCCTACATGCAGCCACTGTCCTATGCCATATGGTATAAAGAACTAGACCACTGGGTACCAGGACCAAGTTTTTCAGACCTTTTCTGAGCAGTTGCCTGGAACTTTGGGACATGAAGAGCAAAACGGATTGCTGATGCCTTACAAGACACAGATCCTCTTTTCTGAGCACACATAATGCTCTCACATCTACCACTGCACTTACGTCTTTTCATGATTTTTTTATGTAGATCACTCCAAACAACAAAACCCTAAAATTTAAAACTATAAATAGGAGGAAAGGTTGCAGCTTGGACAAGTGATGTATGGCGAGCAATGGCTTGGGGGAGCTGTGGGAGACTCAAAGAAAAAAGAAGAGGCCTTTTTACCTCGTGTGCCTTCTGCTCCCAGAATTGTCCTTGGATGTGACTTCATGCCTGCTGTGACAAACACTTATATTCAATTTACAAGAATTGAATGTCAATTCCTCCTTGGATGTCAAAAGATTCCAATCTGGCCAGTGTGCCCCGAGTCTGGATATGGCCTTCCGCCTTTCTTTCCTGTGTTCTAACCCGCAGAGCCTGTCAGGCAACTGTGTTTGTCTGTCCTGAGAAAGCTCTGGGAGAGGGCTGCCGTTGATATTCAGCACGAGCTTTTCTGAGCTCAAACAACCTTCCTTGGATCATGGCTTTCTTTGTTACATTTGTGTATGAAAGCACACCCTTTTAATCCCAGCTCTTAAGAGGTACAGACAGGCAGATCTCTGTAACTCTGAGGGCAGCCTGATCTACAAAGAGTTCTAGGACAGCTAGGGCTACCCAGAAATCCTGTCTTGAAAACCACAGCCACGGAAACTGAAGCCAGGCCGTCTACAGCCTTAGACAAGTCCAGCAGACAAGATCCATATTTGTCCACAAAGGCCGCCAATACCTTTCAAGCACAGCGCACAATCTTTAGTGTGGCACTAACAATGGTTTTAGCCAGTGACCTGGATGTTCTGATCATTTTATCTTACAAAAATTCCCCACTAACCATCGTGGTAGCTGAAATTTTGGGCACATAACATTGTTTGCAAAACACGTTTCTGGAAATACATTTTTAGAGCAAGACTTCATTTTTACCTGAGTTGATTTGTATGCAGGTCTCTATCCTTTTGATAGTAGACAAACCACTGGAAGAAGCCAAAACTCGTAGCGGGATGATGTGACCTGGGAGGAAGAGTCTCCTCCAAAGAGAAAAGATAGCCCCAGGGCTGAACTGTTCTGTTCCCAGGTTCAGTGTACTGTGAAGAAGGTGCCATAGCGGGAAAGAGATAACATCTGTCCAGTGTCATTCAAACTGGGTCACACCTGAAGCCATATCTATTATTTTTAAACTTCAAAAACCTTGTGGATTAGACTAAGCTAACTGCTTCTCATTGGCCCTTAACCTGCTAGCCTCTCCTGCCTTCCCAGCAACAAAGAGTGTATGAAAGAATGCAGAGGGTCTCTGTGGGTGCACATTCTCTCCTGAGTAGGGAGCTGCCCCGACCATGATAAAGTTTGAGCCTCCCCATCACTGGGGTCTTAGAATTTTCCTTTGTGGTGCTGAGTCCCATCAGGCTATAACGGGAGAGAGGAGTTGAGGCAAGTCTGATGATTAAAGAGAAAAAAATATGCTAATTTTTGGTTAAAAAAAAAAAAAAAGAAAGTACACCCTTAATCCCAGCACTCGGGAGGCAGAAGCAGGTGGATCTGAGTTCTAGGCCAGTGTGGTCTACAGAGTGAGTTCCAGGACAGCCAGGACTATGCAGGGAAACCCTGTCTCAAAAATGAAAAAAAAATTTTTTTTCTCCAAAAGAGCAATTGGCTTGCTACTAAACCAACCACACCACTCTACAAAGAGACCATGGTACAGGGAGCAGTGCTGTCTAAGGGTTTCCATCAATTCCTTGAAAATGAGATGTACTATTTTACTCGAAACTTCACGATTCACAACACATTTTCATTGTGACATCCCATAAACACATCACTTGAATGGTACAACTTTCATATATTAGCTCTTTAATTTTTACACCACCACCAAAAATGTAGACATTTTTCTTCTGAGTTTCTAGATGATGAAATAGAAACTCAGAGAAAATAAAGTGATTTGCTCTTGATTAACAAAGATGATAAAACTTAAGACATAAAAGCCAATATAGGTGTGTATCCTGTTAAACACCATCTTCTTTTTGTTTTGTTTTGTTCTGATTTTGTTGTTGTCGATTTTCTGAGACACAGTCTTACTTTGTAGTAAGGTGGCCTTACACTCACATGCAATTTCTAACCGCTGCACTTAAGCTTTAATGAGTAGTTCTACCTTGTAACACTTCCGCTCTGTTTGACATGGAAGGAAACTTGGGGGGAGAGGCGGGGAGCAGGGAGGTACTGCTTATGAACAGGCTTATTTACATTCTTGAGGAAACACTGGAAGAAACTATGAAATCTCATTTATTTGATTTGAGTAAAGTAAATGTTGACACTAGGCCTTACATTTGATGCCATTAGTCTGGCAAGCGAGTCACATTTTAACAATGAGAAAAGGAACAACAGTAAGTAAAACGTGGGAGAAAACTGCTCTGGTTTCTTTTAAACCCTGACGAACATCTAACATACGCTTAACGGTAAGTCACTTCAAGCAAAGGCTAAGGACACCCAAATGGTAGAGCCAGCACTAAGAACTCCAATGATATACAACTCAAACATGCATAGGGAGATAAAAGTTATTTTATTAAATCATGCACATCACGTGTGTTAGTGCAAATAGTTTAATCTGTACTCCAGAAATTCTATTGTACGTTTTATCTTTACAAAATAGATTTCAAACAATTATTTACTTTAAAAAAGGTAATTTTGAAGTTATGCATTTCAGAACAGTATTTGCAATAACTATATACAAGAGGTACTGGGTACCACTGGCATATTAGCATTCTGTGGTGGAGTGGCTTCCTGCAACAGAAAATGGTAAAATGAACTATATGATAGTTTTTTCTACAAGTCATTTGTGGCTAATTCCTCCAAAAATCTAGTGCTTCTCCTGACAACAATCCCAAATAGCTTTAAATACAACTTATAAAGTAAAAACAATGACTGCCAAACATCACAAGGAAAATTATATCCTAAACTTCTATTCTCGATATCTGGCTGGATCTGGGTATTCTCATAGAACATTCAAGCCAATTCACCGACGTCCCCTCCCAATCTTCAGTGACTGAAGAAAACTGAACTACGTGATGCTTTAGGATACTGACATCACTATGGTGCTGAACAAAACCATAGCTAAACTTTAATCCCTGTGTTTTAAATATATAATGTCAAGCAGTGCTTAGGTGTGTTACTGTGCATGGACCACTATCAGTCTGGGAATAGTGCTACTAATTAACAGGCTGTCCGAATTAACAATAAAAAGAAAAAAACATTTGTATACCCAAGCAAGAAATCTTGGTAGGTAACATCAGTTCACCTTGAATGTGAATTAGCTTCACATCATAACCAAATTAAGTCAATAAAAGCTTATCTAAACAGATATAATTCTTCCTTCAATTAAACATGCTTGGAGGAACAGATGACAGAAAAAAAATCATGCTTCCTAAACTGCTTATATGAGAAGGTAACTTGGCTTTTAAAGAAAACATTTCTTAAATACATGAGGTTTAATAAGTTACATTCCAATTCACTCAACAGTTTGGTTGATTGCACTGAAATTATGCAATTATGTTTTTTGCTCCCAGAAATATTTCAGTTTGCTCAAGAAAATACAAGCTCTCATGGAAAGTTTTTCAAAGCTGATGTCCTTCACATCTTCAAGTCTCATTAAGGCTGAACAAGCATGTATGTATTCCCCAAATTATCATTATAACAGAATTTTCCAAATGTGTTTTCTTTAAAAAAAAAAAATCACACAAACAATTGTCTAAGTCTTGTTCCCAATAGCTCAGTGGTTTTATAACAAGTAAAAATGGCGTAAATACGTAAAAAAAATATATATGTGTGTGTGTGTGTGTGTATATTCAAACTGATAGGCACTGAGCACACAGGGCCTCTCTTCCCATATATATATTGGTTGTTCGGTTTGAGTAGTTATCGAATCAAAAAATGAATTGTGTGGCCATCAGAATTCAGAGTAAAATATCTATAAATTTATGGTATAAATAATTTGGTGCACTAAGAAGCCTACTTTAGGCCACCATAATATTCAGAATCTCAACATACTAATTTAAAAATGACATGAAAATCCGAATAAATTCACAACTTTATATCCTCTCTATAGACAGATATATTTTTATATAAGTTAAAGCAATGACCCTACAGCTGTATTCTTGCACTTTGCTGTTTTAAGAGGTAAAAAGGAAGAAAATGGTTCTGCTTTGTCCCCAGCATGAGTGAGAGGCAGCTTCTAAGGGAGGACGGTGTACACACAGGACACACTGTCACGGAGAAGCTCTGGCCAGACCCGGCACATACAGCACGATGGCTGTCACCGCAACCAGGGCCGCCAACACGGGCATCCAGGGCCAGGGTTTCTGTGGGGAAAGAGACCAAGAGTCAATATCACATCCCCCCCCTCTTTTCATACATATTTAACCCCGTGGTAAACTGAGTCCCACGTACTTAAAACGCCTTTGGGAAACTGTGCTTGCATTGTAAAGGTGAGTTCAGACAGAAAGGAAAATGAGGGAAAACCATACCAGCAGGGTCACTATGTGGAGGGCTGAACACCCCAGGAAAGTTCTGGCCGGCTTTCGACATTGTTACAGTCGAAACGCAGTAGTTACTTGTAGATACAACTCTGGACTGCGCCTGCTGCATTTACTGTGCCCTTGGAGTGCTAAGATGGGATAGAAAGAAAAGGGTGCAGGCTTCATCCTGTACTTGAAACCCAAGAAGACAAATCAAACGGGGTTGGAGAGGAAAGTGGCCCTAAGGCCTGCCCGCAGTGCTCCTCTGGTGAGCATGCTCTGCTATTAGTTAAGAGCAAAGCACGGATGGGCTGGCTTCCCAGGCAGCTTTCAGAGGGTTATACAATCCCTTTACTTTGGCCGCTACCTTTATTCGCACTGGTATTTTGACAGTGTTCTTGAGAAACACTCTTCATTTGCAGATCAGAGCTCAAAAAGGTTTGTTACTGAGCTTGCATATAGGAAGTAAACTCCCATTGTTGTTGAAATTGTGAGCCAATGGCTCGTTACACTAATCTCACTTTCCTTCATTTTCACAGCAAACAGGCAAAGGATTAAAGGAAAAAAAAAAAAAACCCAGACTCTACACCATGGAAGGGAAGAAAGGAAGGGTAATACTGGCTGAAAATGTCAAAGATGCAAACTCTTCATTTCTCATTCAAATCTGATTGAACCATTACTGGGGCGTAGGTGGGGGTATTGCAGAAATTCACTGCTTACTCCAGTTTGCTAGAGATAAAGACTCAGTTAAAGGAAGCGTATAACAACAGGTTAGCGTGGGGTTAATTCAGGGTTAGCATTACTACCAAAGAAACAAGACACGATGTTATGTGATTATGTGTTATGTGTTATGTGTTCATTAGCATGACACAAATACACAGCATACTAAATGAAGGGTTTGCGTCAGGTAACAAAATACCTGTGTGGTTTTGCCATGCACTCTATTACAAATATGGCACAAACAGGTGACAGGGACAAACAGACAAGGACTCAACAGTAGTGCTTGTACCTTTCTCTACCACAATGGACCGAAACACCAAAACAGGAAAGCCAGGAATAGGCCGATGAATACGGCTGGGACAGGTTGTAATATGGAGGGCTGAAGAAGGGAAGGGATATTAAAATCATTTTATGCTATATAAAAAATCAGATAAGATGATTTAGACCCCAGGGGGTGGCTGGAGAAGGAAAGGAAGACTGAAGTAACAGAAGTACACCATTCAGGTTTTGCACCAATTCAAAAAAATTTAAAGACATCCAACACAATCTAGAATGATGGGCTGGGGGATGTGTATGCCAAGAAACTACTACTTTAAAAGGAATAGCTCGAGGTAGTCATCAATTTACTTGTCCTCAAAAATTCTAATGAACCATCACAAGTTCAGACAGAGCAACGACAATAGTTTATCAAGTAATGGTCTGTTTGACAATATATATTATTTTTGTTTCACATCTGAAGTCACTGCTTGGTAGGCAACAGAGAGGGTACATTTTGTTCTTCCATCAAAACCTAGTTTCCTTCCAGCTGAAATTCTTCGACTTCTGAGACAGTATTGCTTCAAAGCTTAAAATACATGTTTTGTAATAATATATTTGGTGAGGCAAAAAGACACAGCACGATGTAAGACAAACAGGCAGCCAAAGCTCAGAATTTCTTTATCTAAACAGGTCTGCTTTTCTTCTTTTTTCAGAAGGGAATTACTTGGATATATAAGCCTATATTGTGAAAAGGGTAAATTCATCCTGAAACTGAATCGTTTTATACAGCTGTAAATAGTAATAGCACGGGGATGGTCACTCTGATCATGCCTGATGTCTTTATAGGTTAATTTAGCAGGGAGTGGACTGAGCTTCTATAATCAGGTATGAATTAACACGAAAGAAAAGATTCATTACGATCTGATTTTAGAAGATTTCTGTATCCTATGCATTAAAAAATAAATGTGATCCCCTTTAGTGTAAAGCCTTCAACCCTTCAGTTACTAAAGGAGTTCTACCTAAGCAGCAATCCTTTATTGTCTAAAACCTGTAACTTAGGAAGCAAAGGGCAGCTGGGCACAAGTCATGAGTTCTGTGGAAACCGCGTAACTGGACAGCCATGCAGCACCGCTCCTCCACCCTTGTGCTGGCGTCAAGCAGCCACAGAAGCGTGTGGCTCCCGGCTACTGCGGGCTCTAAGCTGTGAGAGCGGGAGCGAGCCTCAGAGCACAGCCAACCACACTGAGCACCCATCAGTTAGGGCCCACAAAGGCAATGGTCAGCACAACGAACAACACGACATTTACTTAGTGTAACTTCACCTTAAAGACCGCTCTTCCCACAACTGTTATCAAACCAAATCCACAGGCAAACTTTTTCCCATCTCTGTGCCTGTTGGCCCCCAGCTCTCCCTCAGTCATACACTGGAAAGCTCTATGTCGATTTACCAAATACTGACAGACAGAGGCCAAATGAAGAGAAAGCTTTTAGGAATGTACATTACTAGCACAAAAATGAAAACTGTTCTGAAGCTCGGCTGTCTGAGACAGCCTAGGGCTAAGGAGCGATGTGAACCACGCCTCCTAAACGGCCTCTAGTGGCACAGGCTTCATTTCCCGGTAGGAAAGAAACAAAAGCCAGATGATGACTTTGTGACAAAACTTCAGACTCATCTGGGCAAACCAGACAGTTCTTCTAAGCTGTTCTACTGACAGTTGTTTTCTACCAAGAAGGCCTCAAGCTTTTCTATGGGTATAAGTTAAAGAGCGCAATTCTTCCTTAAAAAAGGAAGAAATCCCACAGCACAATAATTCACTCACAGATATTCACAATGAAAAGCTGATTTCTTCTGTACCTAGGCTGTTACTTCCCCAAACCATAATGGAGTCTTCTGGAAACCACTCTCGGCCTCCGACTCTCCTCCCAACGGTCAACACTTACATTATTTCCTTTCTCCCGCAGCAGCTTCAGGCTGTCTTTGCACTGTTTGAGCTCATCTGTGATCGACTGCTTTTCCTGCTCAGTCATTTCAAACTTCAACTTCAGTTCTGAGAGTACAGTCTGTGTCTTTTCATACTAAAGGTAAAGAAAAAAAAAAAAAGAGTGTGCAGGCTTGACTTAAAATGGGTGTGAAGTTATGGTTCTAGTCTGGTATATCTCAGGCCCTGTTTAATAACTTTTAACACCAAAGTCAAGCTTTCCTTTATCCGGAAAGACAAGTCCCTGGCACTCACAGTAAAGGAATCTTTAACGTTGGCTTCATCCTGGGTAATGACTTTCTTGCCCTGGTGTTAAAATCAAAGAACAGAACATACCGTGTTGTCATCTGCTTAAATATAAAGGGTCACTTCTCCCATCAAGTGAGAAGAGGGAAAATGAAATTTTTTCCTTTGAGCAAAAGACAAACAAATCCTAGTCAAGTGGCAGTGTTAGGTCTAAAAGTATTTCCTGTTAATCAAAAGGAAGGCATGTTAGCCACGTTATTTACTCTTGAAACAAAAAGCATTGACTTTCACCTGGTCTTCTATTACTTGGCACTAGTGGATATCAGTGAGTTTTCAGGACAAATAAGGCAGAAATACATTTGACATACTCACCACAAAGACTGGGGCATTTGACACTTAAAGCCCATCAGCTCCAACTTTTCTAACAGAAAAGTTTTCATAAATGAACCAGCCATTTTCTACTCTTGAAAATTGTGTATATGTATGTGTGATATACAGACATAACATGAATATATGCAAATAACATATGGCTTTCATACAAACTACCCCTTGAAGACAGGCCAAACCAATGTGACACACTGTGCAACTTGATCTCTTAATGTCCCCGAGAAGCTGAAATTCTAGACTGGTTTCACTTCTAGATGCACTGCTCGGCTGTCGGGGGCGGGGGGGGACGAGACGGGGGGGGACGGGGGCTCTCTCCACATCGGCCTCCCCATCCTGCCACCCCTGCATGTTTCAGAAGGAAGACAAACTGAATAGGAAACAAATACCCCATGGGTGTAGTCTATCGGAAAGCTCCTCCTCTTGTCTTAGCATGGCTAAGGAAAATGGAAGGTTCCTAGTCCCTCTCTACCTACATCCCAAACTTAACAAAGGACACCTCTGTAATAGTGCTCCTGAAAATGCAGACACCTTGGAGTGGAGAGAACCTCACTAACCTTCAATAAAGACGAGTACCAAGAAAGATGAAAATGTTTAAAGACATTAGGAAAGAAGGGACAGGGAAAAGGTTAGGGTCAGAGGTCAGAGGTTACCAGGAAGGGGTTATGAAAGAAATGTTTTGTTACCTAAGAACATTCTCAAAACAGCCCTGGGAAATACACTAAAAAATGAACCAAAGACTGAAATTCACAGGTTTGTTTGTGACTACCTTTTGGAGCTGATGTGAGGGTCTGTGAACTTCTCCCAGAAGGAAGAAGGCTGCTGAGAGGCTACCAAGGAGACTCAGTGACTCCAGACCGCTGTTGCACCTTGGAGGGCAATCAGCTCTCAGCGATCGTGAAACAGTTCCCAACAGTGCTAACGAAGGGACATCACACCTCCTTCCCTTCCCTTCCCACGTCTACGTCCAGACTGCCCTCTCCATCACAACCCTGAGTCACCTGTTTCAGGGACTCAAGTGGAGGCGTAGGCAGCGTGCAGTCACCGGGCTGCTGCTCACTCCACACACAGCAGTGCATGGGTGACTCTGGCCCTACAGGAAGACAGGGAAGCCAAACACCAACCCTGAGTCAGAGTCTTCAGGAAAGACAGAGACAGAGATGGTCATCGTTTTATGTATTCCCTGGTTGGGTGACTTCTTTGAGAGAGAGTCTATGTAGCCCAAGTGGCACCAGTTCGAGACCTATCTCTCTCAGCTTCCTAAGTGTTCAGACTGCAAGTGTATACCACACAACTGGTTGAGCTCTTGGATCATAGATATTCTCTCATATTCTCGCTAAATTAAATACAAAGAGATATACAATTCCTCATACTTTTCCTTTGGAGTTATTATATAAACATTACCACAGATAAAGCTTTAAGCAGGGCACAAAGATCACCTCTGTAGTCTTAGTTTTACCCTTGCTTGGATATCAATCGCATCTGTTGTCTCTTGCTTTTTAACTCTGAAGTAAACAGTGAAGTAGCCAGCACATAATATTACCAACACCTGTGGCTCTTCTTCATAAAAGTAAACATATCTGGGGTTGCTCAGCTTCCAATAGTTTAAACCTCTTACAGGACTGATGACACATAATCAGAATTTTTGAGCACATTAAGCATGATTCCAGGAGAGAAAGGAGAGCAAAGGGAAATGTTGAAAGGAAGCAAATATGCATTACTAAAAAGTAATAATGTATTATTGGTGGATTACACAGAGATAAAACCTTATTAGAACCCTTTTACTTACAGACCAGTATCCAATGTGTTGACAGAAGGACAAACAATAATTTCATATTACAAAGGAATATGATGACTATACATCATTTCACAATGAAAAACAGTGAACAAGAAAATAGGAAAGAACATACTAACAAGCTCAGACATATTTTCAAATATGCTGCATTTAATGCAATCCAAAGACTAGCAACACTTTAGATGCTGTGACAACATGCCGCTGCCATTTGTGGAAACAGTTAAAGCATTTGGCACTATCATTCAGTCACTGAAAGCAGGCAAGCGCACAACGCAGCGATGGCTAGCGTGTTCATAGTCACATACAGCAGAGTCATCGTCCCAGACACTGAAAGGGCGACGGCGCATGGACTGGAAGGACACAAAGTGCTTACAGTTAATAATAGGATATTCACTTTGGCACAAAGTTTGTGTTTCAACCGTTGAGGGTGTTCCTAAAACACACATCCTTAACCAGGTAGAGCAGAACATCTGAAAGTCAATGTGTCTACATGAATATAAAAACTTTTGCAGGTGTTTTTCCCTTAGAAACAAGCACAAAGACGGGACAATCATTTCCAAATTCAGGACACTCCAGGAAAAGTGCAAAGAGAAACTTGCATTAATTTTATTTTCTAAAAATAACTTTCAGAAAACTCCTTTTTAAAGACAAAGAGCTGCATTTTACATCCTTCTAAGTTATGAAGAACCCTGCCTGTAAGCAAGTCTAGTTGGTACATCCTGATGAGCAGACAGGCTTTATTAACCTACATCCTCAGCTGGCCAGGAGTCAGGCCAGGAGGCCAGCAGGAGTGAGCACAACGTTTACTATCCAGTTGTCAGCATTAAGATGCACCTATCGTGTTGAGAACTGGGGTGGGTCCCTTCCAAAGTCAGCCTCCCATCATCAACTTATTTCAAAGGGACATGAAATCAAGTTATAAGCAAAATCACATAAAAGCTTATGTGTATGTGTGAAGACAGAAAGAAAGTGGAGGAAAAAACAGTTCCACAGAAGAGGCTTTTGCTTGCCGTATACAGATGAATTTTAACTTTTTTCTCGTTTGTTTTCTGACATAGACCTCATCAGCTTAAGCTGTCCTCAAACATCACTATGAAGCTGAGGCTGACCTTGAACTCCTGACTCTCCTGCTCCACCTCCCAAATGCTGGGACTGGAGGTGTGCATTACCTTGCCCATCTGTATATACATTTTACTTTGGTGCTTTGAACTAGGGTCTATTATGTAACCCAGCAAAGCCTTGAACTCACTACAATCCTCCTGCCTCAGCCTTCCAGGTGCTGGAATGACAAGCATGAGCCACCCCAGCAGGGTAAGTGACTTTTTAGCCACTTTCCCAGGAGCATATAGCTCCAAAATACAGTGTTGTCCTAGTTTGTAGATTGCCTTCTGAAACAATGCTTCATTTAATATGACACGCTCTTTGATAGTTAAACAGACTAAGCAATCTGTTACAAATGGTCTCTCATGCTGTCAACTGTTAGAGAAAAATTAAAAACTAGCTCTGTTGTCTGTATGTTTGAAAGCAAACACTTGATAAATTCTCTCAATAATGGACCATGACGCACAGCTAGTAATTACCAGGCTGGGATGCTCCAAGTGTCAACTGTCAGGTAACATGCTTTCTGCTTTTCTTTATTTCTAAGAAGCATGGATATCTGATTTGCCTTTGGCTTTAAGTCCAACCATAATTGGGCTGAGCTTGTCTTTTCGCTTTACCTCTTTCTGAACATCCTTTGCTTGGTTTTCAGCCTTACTGAGAAGAGTTTTTAAGTCAGCTGAGTCACGAAGGTGTTGCTCTTTCAAGGATCCCACCTGGTCCTCGAGCTCTTTCTTGGTCATCTGGAGGATGCTTAGGTCACTAGTGAGCTCCAAACTCTGCTTCTGAGAACTGCAACATAAACACCGACAGTCATTCACAGCAGACACTGGACACGGAGAGAGTCTAGGATCCTCAGCATTGCACCAGGTAGGAAGGAATGCATTTCACAAGGGGGGGGGGGGGACTAAAAAAAAGTAAGACTTTCAGTAAGGACAAAAGGCATTAGGACATTTCAAAATATCCATTGAAGTTTAAAAGTTGTATCATTTCAAACACACAAAAAAAGTACAAATTTTATCAATAGAAGGAAATGACTATATTTTGGGGGTTTTCTTTACTTTTTTTTCTTGTTTTGTGACAGGATAACTCTGGCTGGCCTTGACTTCCTTTGTAGATCAGGTGGGCCTTGAACTCAAAGAAATCTGCCTGCCTCTGCCTTCCAAATGCTGACATTAAAGATATGCATTCCTAGGGGTGAAAAGATGGCTCAGAGGTTAAGAGCAATGACTGCTCCTCCAGGAGTCCTGAGTTCAATTCCCAGCAACCATATGGTGGCTCACAGCCATCTATAATGAGATCTGGTGCCTTCTTCTGGCATGCAGAGACACATGCAGGTAGAATGCTGTATACATAATGAATAAATAAAAAGCTTTTAAAAAATGATATGCGCACCCATGCCTGGTCCTAATTATATACTTTAATATATCAAATTATCTTTACTAATTAGGTCATAAATACATTTAAATGTGTATTTCAACTATGTTACAAGATTCAGTATTTGCAAAGAGAAGAGGGGTCAGAAACCTGAAGCTCAGGCATACCTGCTAACTCAAGCAAAGACAAATCTGTGCAAATGAAACATGCCGTCACATGGGAAGAAGGCACACGACAAGCAACTAGCCTGGGAGGTGGAGCCTGGCCTCGCCACACTGAGCTGTGGGAAACGGAGCATGCCACTTGGCTGGCACACCTTACTCTCTGAAGAAACATCCCCTGAGCTCTTAGATGCCTCAGTGTCCTCTTATATCAGACATCCGCCTCTGTGCTGGTGGTTTTCTGTCACTGGCACAATCTAGAGTCATCTGGGAAGAGGGAGCCTCAGTTGAGAAATGTCCCTGCCAGACTAGCTTGTGAGCAAGCTTGTGGGGTGTTTTCTTGATTGTTGATGCGGGACGGCTCAGTCTACTGTGAGTGGGCCACCCCATGGCAAGTGGTCCTAGGCTGTATGAAAAAGTAGGTGAATAAGTCATGAGGAGTAAGCCAGTAAGCATCAATCCTCCATGGCCCCTGCCCTAACTTCCTTCAGTTATGTCTGTGACCTGAGAGTTACAGGATATAATAAACCCTTTCCTTTCCAAGTTGCTTTGGGCATGGTGTTTAGCATAGCAATAGAAACCCTAACTAAGATAACATCTTAAGTTATTCTCCAGCTTTAATTACATGATTGTTTTTATAATTTGCTATTAAAAATAATTTACCCAAGAAGAATGTGAATGAACATCAATGCCTTCTTCAGAAATGGCTAGAGCGTGTTGTAGAGTCTAGTGGTAGACCACATAACTAACATGACCGAGATTCTGGGCTCAATCTCCAGTGTGAATAATAACAATAATTCCTTGTTCATCTCTTTGACAACAGTGAAAAAAAATAGACTTATCTGGCTTAGAGAAAAATTAGCCTCCACAAGCAGTTAAAGAGTATTTTAGGGTTGGGGAGATGGCTCAGGTGGCACCAGTTGCTCTTGCAGAGGCTTGTGTTCGAGTCTCTGCGCCCACACAGCGCCATGCACATGCACAAGCATTTGTAAAGCCAGCTCCAGGGTATATATGCTGCCCTCTTCTGGTTTCTGCAGGCAGTGAATACACATGGTGTACACCATGTGCAACTGATGCGGGAAGTCCTGTGTATATGTCAATAAAGCACTGTTGGCCAATAGGGAACCAAGATAGGTGGGACTAGGAATCCAGGACGACTCTGGGTAGGAGAAACACAGGAGAAACACAGGGAGTCAAGATGTAACGCCATGGGGTAGGAAGCCCGGAAAATTCTTGGGTAAGAGAAATACTTAGATTAACAATTATGGGGTAATTACTTAAGTCAGAGCTAGCCAGTAAGAAACAAGCAAGGCCAACAGCTTCATAATTAATATAGCCTTCTGTGTGTTATTTGGGACTCATGCAGCTCTGGAATCAGGCTGGTGGGAAGGCTTCTCTCAAGGAAAAGGTTTCCCTTTACATATGTAACAAACCACCCAGACATCTAAAGCACCTTTTTTAAATATAAGATTTTCAAAGTGACAGTGTTACATCTTTCAGAATGCAACTTAATCAGATTCATTACTATAAAGAGCTACAGCGCATATATTTCACTCTTCTTATTATATAATGGGCAGAATCTTACGGATGAGTTTGATACTATCAGGACAATAAACATAAGCACTAAAGGGCCTTTAAGACCCTGTGTAAAAAGAGAAGCTTAGCAAATAAATGTACAGTACTCAGGCAGAAATGTTCGAGAAACAGAATTAATATATTTTATGTACTTTATATGAGTGTAGACAGATGACTTGAATAATGACATGTACTGATACAGTGTACCTTTCTAGAACACATTGTTTTGGTTTGGTTTGTTTGTGAGATGGATGTCTCACAAGGGATCCTTCCTGCCTTAGCATGCCACATACCTAGTTCTCCAGGCAAGCAGCATATAGCCAACTGAAGTCTACATTTAAAGCCACATGCTTCTACTCATAAGGAATCTGTAAACATGATTTTGAACACTTAAGCAAAGTGACATAATTTTAAAAGGATAGTACTTTAACAGTCTGCAGATTTCAATTAATTACATCTCAAAAATGAGAAATCAGGAGGTTCAGAATCTGTAAATATCAATACTCTGAAAACAAGAATAATTAAGTAACACAAACTAGATTGGACATAGTGACACACAACTAAAATCCCAGGATTAAGAAGACTGAAATAGGATCAAGTTCAAGCCGAGTCTGGGCTATCTAAGGAAAGTCTGTCTCCAAACACACACACACAAGCAAAACAATAAATACACCAAACTAAATAAATTCACCTAAAAACGTATTATGTGGTACATGTAAAGAACTTGCATATCTAGATGAATGATTTATAGGAAGGCTGAGGCAGGAGGATTGGGGTGAGTTCATGGCCAGCCTGGGTTATATAGTTAAATCCCAGGACAGTCTAGACTACAATATAAAACAAAACCAAAAAACCCCAAGTTGGCTGTAGTAATTAATGCCTATTTTCACAATACTTGGTAGATTGAAGCCAAGCATTAGGAAGTTTAGACCCAGCCTTGGCTACATAGCAAGTTCAAGGCCAGCTTGGGTTACATGAGACCCTATTTCAAAGTACTAACAAATAAACAAAATCAATTTCTTTACATGAGCTGCCACACAGGTAACCAATACATACACATGTGATGGGGATGTCCTTCTATATGCTGTGAATATATGTTTTGCTCCATTCTCTGACTTCAGACAGGCTTTATTTGTACAAACAAGATATCACCACACACATGTAAGCATGTATGTATGCATTATGGGTCTGTATTTTGTCCTCTTCCTATTTTTACTAACTTTCATGTTACAAGTAAACATTTGTTTTATTCATTAATTAGCACATATATTCAAAATGTAATATACATAAAATACATGAAAGGACTAAGCAAAGTGACAGTAGTAGAAGAGAAAAATCAGGGCTGAGATGGCTCAGTGGCTAAGAGCACTGGCTGGTGTTCCAGGGGGCCCAGGTTTGAGTCCCAGCACCTCATGGCAGCTTACAACTGTCTGCAACTCTAGTTCCAGGGAGTGACTATAGTTCTACAGAATTCAAAACACACTACATATGCAGGCACCACATATGCATACATATGTTACTCTTACTTACAGAGAGGCAAAACACATACACATAAAATAAAAATACATAAAATCTTAAAAGAAAATCAAAGTGCTTTATGGATCCTCATGCTGAGATTTCAGAGTGGTATAATGAGGTGCTTTAGAGAATAAACCAGTAGATCTTGTTCCTTCGGATATTTCCTTACTGATTTTAGGAGGGATAAGGCTACCCAAACTGTAGAGCTAAAAAGGACATTGAATTCCTTGTCCTCCTGCCTCTGTCTCCCAAGTGCTGGGATTACAGGGGTGTGCCACCATATTGGGAGAGGGGGAGGGGGGAGAGAGAGAGAGAGAGAGAGAGAGAGAGAGAGAGAGAGAGAGAGAGAGAGAGAGAGAGAGAGAGAGAGAGAAGACGCATCTACTCCTGCATAAAGGAGGACCAAAATCAGTGTCAGATATCTTCCTTTCAAGATAAGGTCTTACCGAACCTGGAGCTTCCTATTTTGGCTAGACAGGTAGGAGCAAGCAATGGGTCCAGCGTCACTTTCTCAAAATCTCTCTATCATCTCCCTCCCTTAAGACAGGAATAGAACCCACAGTCTCAAGTCCTCTAGTAGTCTGCTATTTTTCTAGCCACATTCTGTGTGATTTAGAAGCTAAATTCATCTGTCTGGTGGTAAACTCTTTGTTATAGATCACCATTCTTACACACAGATAACGAGTGAAGGAACAATCACTTTACATGTGAACTGTATTGCCATTTTGTTAACAGGGCAATTTCTGATTTGGGTCTGTGCTGTTTATTTTCAGCAGTGGGGAATGGTACAGCAGAGGCATCTAACTGGATCTGAATTCTAGGATATTCCGAAAGGAGTGTGCTTACAGATATGGTGGCAAAAAGGAAGAAAATGATATATATAATGCTTACCATGTTTAACTTGTCAAATAATAGATTTGGCTGAACATTTTGTTCCAAAATGGCACGTTTAAGTATCAACATTTAATTTGCATGAAAAGTAAAGATAAATGTTTTGGCGTTAAAGGGAAACTCTTACATACTTGTGCAATTCTTTTTCTTGCCGCTGCAGTTCTGATGACAACAAAGCATTCTCCTTTTTTAGAGAACGGCGTTCAGTTTCCAACTGATTCCATTCCTCTTTCAACTGCTCTAGTTCACCTAGAACAGCCACAAAATATGTGTTAACATAGAAGCCAAAACACACCGTGTTCAAAGGGGCAGCAACGTTTCAGGGAACACATTTCCTCTCCTGAAGCACGTGGGTCTCTGCTTCCTACCACTGTGCAGCAAGAGATGCCATCACCTTAAAAACAGTCTCTGCCCCAACTTCCCTGGGCTGGCGTGCCTATTGGCTGGCAGGTTGCCGTGCAGCCCAGACTGGCTGGGAAGGCTCTATGCGACCCAGGCTGGCCACAGACCCACAGAACAACATCTGCCTGTGCCTCCTGAGCACTGGCATCAGGGTGTGCTCTGCCGTGCCTGGCTACCTCACTGTTTTGAGGCAATAATGTTAACGTTTGCCTGTTTTAACATACACTCTCAGGATACTACCCAGGCAGGCCTTACCTCATAATCCTCTAGTCTCTACTTCCTAGGCGCTGGGATTATGAGTATGCACCACTGTTATGACATACTCAATAGCATTGTAAATGATTAATAGTATATGCCTATAAAAACACACTTATCACAGAACCTGTAGACCTGCACAATGTACCTACAGCCCTAATACTAATAAAAGCCCTGGTTTATGCAGTTATCTTCTATCAAAGAGTAGGAGTTAGCGGGTGTGGGCTGGGACAACATGGTGACTAAGTGCCACCCCCTCCGACTCCCCCGAGCACTCGCTCACCTTGTAACCTCGCTGCCTCCTCTCTCTGCTGGTCCTCACACTGCTGACACCGGAGCTGGAAACTGCTCTGTAAACTGGAGATCTCTTTCTCATACTCGGACGCTGCTTTCCTCCAGTTCTCAAGCTCCGCCCTCACCTTCCTCAGCTCTTCTTGCAAAGAAGCAAAGTCAGTGTCCCGCTCCGAAGCAGCCTTCGCTGCTGCTTGATGGAGGAGCAAAATCTCGTCCTGGGCATTGAGCAATTTATCTCTCGTGCTGGAGACTTCAGTGTCCTTCTCCTCCTGGAGACTCTCCATGTCCACGTGTAGCCTCTGCAGCTGGACTGCAAAAGTGCACATCTATCACTTTCTCACGCTCACGGGCGCCAACAAAACTACAACGCGTTACAGCACAGCTATTATGGAGCCTAGCTGTCACAGCTGTGTCTTTTGACTAAATTACACAAGTGATCTGTGACAGAGACATAAAATGCCAAAATAAAGATGCAAAAGGGGAAAGCCAAATGGCTAGAGTCACTTTTACTTTCCCCCACAGAGATATTTATTTTAGTGCTTTTAGTTTTCTCTTTGTTTTTCCAATGCCTTCATACAGATATTAAACACAAGCATTAAGTAGAAAGGGATATATGTATATATGCATGTATGTATGTATGTATGTGTGTGTTTGTATGTAATAAATATTTTCTGTCCTTTTGCCGATAAAAACATTAGGGGAGGGAAGACAAAGGAAGAAAGGGAGCTTTCCAAAGCTTAGCTCAGGAAAACCTCAAATTCATTATTTGGCTGAGGCGGGTCTTGAACTCATGACCTTCCTGCCTCATCTCTTGAGTGCTGAGATTACAGGCATGCAGCACCAAAGTTAGCATCACCCCTGCCTTTATGACTCCAATGTCTAAACAATGGATTAAGGAGACAATCCCTCCCTTTCATCTCCTCTGAAGGAAAAATGAGCAAGAGCCCAATGTGACAAGTTTCTGGGGAGAACCAGAGCAATCTCGTTTCCATTCCTTTTCAGTCACGGTCATCTCAAACAGTCCTGGCGTGCCCCGTACCTTGAAGAACCTGTATTTGTTTAGCAGATTCCTCAACTTGATTTCGATAGGCTTTACGTTCTTCTTCCAAAAGTGCTAAAAAGCAAAAACAAGGTGTATCTAATTTTGTGAATTAGTGAAAAATATTCATAATTGCACAGTTAGAAATTCTAAAATTTTTCTTTTAAAGTTTACAGAAAGACACAAGAGTTAGGTGATAAGTATTATCAGTATTAGCCATTAAGACTTTAGAAACACAAAACAATAGTAAGTAACATATCTATAAAACCTAGAGTTTCTACAAGTCTTTCTTACTCAAGAAATATCCTGTTAGTCATCACTGATAGCACACACTTAGAATACCAAATACTGGGAAGGCAAGGCAAAGAAGCTCACAAGTTCAAGGCCAGCCTCAGCTACACACTGAATTCAAGGCTAGCCTAGGCTATGGTGTAGGAGCCCTCTGTCTACAAAAGAGAGTTAGGATGTATTTCAGCGGTGGAGTGCTTGCCTATGATACACAAAGGCAAGTTCTAGCATCATTAAAAATAACAATGTATTGAGGGTCAGGCACAGTACTGCACACTTTACTGCAAGGACTCAGGAATAGAGGCAGGCAGGTCTCTGTGAGTTTGAGTCAGCCTGGTCTATGTAGCGCATCCCTTGCCAGCAAGGACTAGTAATGAGACCCTTATCTCAAAAACTACAAACAAAACAAATTTTAAAAATCACATACCAAACCAAAATTAAACAAACAAGAAAGCCCCAAAAACATAAAATTCTTGTGTTCTTGTGAGAAAGGAATGCCTTTTTTTTTTTTTAATTTAGGGGATCTAGGGATCAAAGACAGGGTTTCCCTAAGCTAGCCTGGCCTTACACTGAGTGCTAGCTACCTTGATTGACAGTCGTAACAGCTCATCAAGACAGTAATGTCTTTGAGAACCAGGAAAGGAAATAGTCATAAGAAGATCCCAGCTTCTTCTTGGCATTTGAATTGTTCTTCAACTCAGGAAGTACATCTTATGAAACCTAAGGATGCCATAAGAATCCATGAGATCTTAGGACTCTCCAAGATTTTCACTTGGGCAAATATCACAAGCTAAGGAAGCATAAACTCCTGAGAACACTGAGGCCCCCACTGGCAAATGATTACCAGACGGAGGAGCCACGAGGAGGAGAAGTGGCCAAGATGGGAAGACCCTGCTCCTCGGTTTTTCTTCGTCCGTCTGGCTACCCCGGCTGGCCTCGGACTTGCGCGCTTCCTCCCCCCCACATGCCCCTGAGCTCTGCTCACAAGAGTCCACACCCTGAGCCCCGCCCACACCTCACTGCTAAATAAATTCCCCACCCCAGAGTGAGCACGAATATTAGGCAAAACTAAATTTACGGGGTTCCCCAAGTCTTGTGTTTTCACTGATTGGGCATCTCCCGTCCAAAAAAAAAAAAATCTAAAGTATGAAATCTGAAACTTTTGACAGCAAAACTTCAGACAAGGGACATTCAGCCTATCATATAATTAACAATGGAGCCCTTTTATTGTTAGAGCTTTTTGGGGGGGGGAGGGGATGCTCCCAGACAGAGTTTTTCTGTGTAGCCTGGCTGTCCTGGAACTTGCTCTGCAGACCAGGCTGGCCTCTGGCTCCAGAGAGCTAGGATTCAAGGTGTGAACACCACTGCCACAGTCCTCGTCCTACCTGAGATGCAAGCTCTGTCTGAGGACAAGAACTGCAAAGCCCTGGCTCTGGAGACCCTGCCACGCCCCGGGCGCTCTGAGCTCCATGACTTCAAATCACAAGTGCTGTTTTCACAAACCCCCAGGGAGTTGGAATGATGTCGATCTCACCTTGAAGTTCAAAGCATTTTTGTTTACTTGCTCTAGCTAGCTCCTGGGCTTCAATCAACTCCTTTCGAAGATGCTGAATTTCTTGTTTGGCCTCAGTTTCTGACTGTGTACCCTGCAAGTCATCTAACAAAAACATGTTTATTTTAAAAGCAAGTGTTAGTTGCACTACAGTCTCTATAGTTAAGTCTGCTGTTCTTTTCCATGTTTAGACACACACAGCTAATCACATGGCACAACTGAGTTAAAAAAAACTTAGAAGCAAATTAGAGTAAGCATATTAGTTATTTTTACCTTCAACAACAGAGTTAATATGGATACTAGTACTATAAAACAGAAATTAACATACATTTTATTGACATACAGCTCCTGTAAAACTTGAAATCTGGTGAGATAGGCATAACACTGTTCTCCATCAATTTTCAAATTATACTTATTGTTATTTGTGTGTGTATGAGAGAGAGAGAGAGAGAGAGAGAGAGAGAGAGAGAGAGAGAGAGAGAGAGAGAGAGAGAGAGAGAGTTGGGAGGGAGGAGGGAGGGAGGGAGGGAGGGAGGGAGGGAGGGAGGGAGGGAGGGAGATGCATGCCACAGGTCAGCAGACAACAGAAGAAGGATGACATTTATGCTTTTCTGTTCCAACATGAGGGGTCCCAGGGACTGAACTCAGGGTGTCAGGCTTAATTTACTCTTCAGCTCCTTCTCCATCGATTTTGAAATTTAACAATATGGCACTTAAATAAAAACGGAAAAACAAAAGAAATTCTTCTTCAAGACAGAAGTAAGTGTTGCAATTTAGGTAAGTGGCGAGAGAGGAGCAGCAACAGTAGGAGTAGCAACAGGGCAGAGAAAGGGGGAACGGATGGACGGATGGACGGAGAGAGAGAGGAGGGTGGCAGGTGGGCAGGGCCCTTTTAAAGGGGAATGTAAAAGAATATGCACAAGTGTGCGGCTGAGGGCGTATCCTGTCGGAACCCCAAGGGCAGGCCAGCGGTGCAGATGCCTGAACACCAACCAGGAGGACTAGCAAGGTTCAGCAGGTAGAGGCACTTTCAAGCAGACCCCAGGGTCTGTGCTCCATCCTGGATTCTCACAAGACAGCAAGAGGAACAGACTCACTACGACTTGTGCCCTGAACCCCACACATGCATACCTCTCCCTACTCCACCTCAACAAAAAACTAAATTAAAACAAACAACAAAAAATTCTGGGTTTTGTTGGTTGGTTGGTTGGTTGGTTTTTGGCGCATGCATGTGTGCGCACGTGCGCGTTTATTTTGAGACAGTCTTACTATGTGTTCCTGTCTAGTCTGAATCTCAATATGCAAACTAGGCTGGCATGAGATGTATCTATCTGTCTCTGCCTCCTGAATGCTAGGATTAAAGACATGCACCAAAAAACAAACAAACAAACAAAAAACCTAGTTTTTAAAAGTATTATAGTGCCGGACGGTGATGGCGCACGCCTTTAATCCCAGCACTCAGGAGGCAAAGGCAGGCGGATCTCTGTGAGTTTGAGGCCGGACTGGACCGACAGCCTCCAAAACAATACAGAGAAACCCTGTCTCGTAAAACAAAAATAAATAAATAAATGAAAGTATTATAGCAATGTTACTTGTAGAATATAAAACAAAAAGTGTGTGTGTGCGTGCGTGCGTGTGTGCGTGCATGTGTGCGTGCGTGCGTGCGTGCGTGTGTGTGTGTGTGTGTGTGTGTGTGTTATAGTGCAGTCTTAAGAATTACACAATAAAAACTGTCAACCATGAAACAGTGAAAACCGGACTGGATGATGCTCTGCTGCATCTACTTTGTACCCAGTGTCACGTGACAGCAGATAAAAACATCTTGCCGAATTATTAGCTGATGCCACCTTAGTGATTTAACTAAAATAAAATTAAACCAGCATTACATCTCAAACATGCCATTTTCCTAACCTCTTTCCTTCCTAGTTACTCTGTTGCTCATCTTTGCTGTATTAAAAGTCCTAAGGGGCTGGAAAGGTGACTCAGTGGCTAAGAGAGCTTGCTATGCAACCATGAGGACGAGAGTTTAGATTCTAGCACACAGGCAGGAAACAAGCTGGATATCTTGCAAATGCAGGTTACTACAGCTCGGAAGGATCTTATACCCTCTTCTGGCCTTCAAGCATACATACCACCACCACCTAAAAAAATATGCATACATAATGCATACACACACAAAAGCAAACATTTAAAAGTATTTTGGCTACAGAACACTGACCAACATCATCCAGTAAGTCATATTTTCATACTGTATTCTAGTTGTGTTTTACATTCTTTTGCTTGCAAGTAGTTCAGCTATACTACACAGCAAGTTCCAGCTTAGCCTGGACTATAGAGTGAGACTTTGTAGCAAAAAGAATAAAACAAAATAAAGGTTCTTACTACAGTAGGAGGCAAGACAATAAATATAAAAGAAATGATAAAGTTATGAAATCATTCTTTGACCCCTACTATAGCAGTAATTAACCAGGTGAAAATAATTAGCATATGCTAAAACATAAATAGTAACAAATCTGAGGTCTAATGGAACATGTATGTAGTCACAGGCAATTCTCCACAAGGTACTTATTGGTTACAAAAAGAAAATTAGTTACTTTGCAGGGAGAAACCTGAGAAACATCTTAAATACTCAAGGTTAATATAAACCACAACAGAACAATATCAGAGACTTTCTGACAGGAAACCTAATTTATCTATAAAATAAACATAGTTTGAATCTCGTCATAAGGAGGCATTAGTCCTCCAGGGACAGGAAGAGCAGGAGGAAAGAGGGGCAGAGGAAGGGGAGGGGGAGAGGAACAGACAGAGGGAGGGAGAGGAAGAAAGAGGGCGGAGGATGGGAGCTGGGCAGGGCCCTTTTAAAGGGGAACACAGAATATGCCGCTGAGAGACATTTTAATGTCCCATGCTGTTAAAAATTGCTAATGTCATGAAACTTGAAGGAGACTGGAGAGACGTAAGAAAGGCAACATGTGATTCAGGACTATTTTGTCATGGCACGTTACAGAGACGAGTGAAAAATGAGAATAAAGTCTGCATAGTGGAGCAGAGTAACATACCAATGTTAACTTGTTAATTTTGACAACAGTGTAACAGTCACAGAAGGGGAGCTAGATATGTGTAGCAAGGATTTGGGAGTAAAGGTTGTCATGCCTACAATTAGTTCTGAATGATCCACAGGTAAAGGAGAAATGGGGGAAATAATGATGAGTAAAACTTGATAAAATGAACAAATATGTGAGTTCGAGGCCAGCCTGGTCTACAGAGCGAATTCCAGGACAGCCTCCAAAGCCAAAGAGAAACCCTGTCTCGAAAAAAAAAAAAAAAAAAAAAGAACAAATATGGGTGTGCTTACATTTGGAGAATTTGAATAAAGAATGTATAGGACTCTGAGTCCTAATGCTGTAACTGCTCTATAGGTCAGGAATTATGACAAAGTAAAAAAATTAAAAAGAAAATGCCTACATATGTTCAAATAGAGGAAATATAGTAGAATATGAGAACTTAATAAATCTAGGAAGTAAGCATATACAAATGTTTCTGGTTGTCGTCAACGGTTACCAAGTGTGCATTGTTAACAATTAAGACGATCTCTCTCGATGTAAGCAGCGCTAATGCCACGGTTTCAGGATAAGCCCCAGCCATTTCTGACTAAATCCCACCAGCACATCTTGCTCCTCTGTGTTATCTCACAAGCACAGTAAGAGAAAACGAATTACTACAACAGCTGCAGAAAGCTGCTTTGCTTTAATGGAGTCTCATAAACGAGGAATCCATCTCTGAAAGCTATGTAGTGATAATTCTTGTCCACAGCAAAACACGTCCCGTGATTGGCCACACTGTGAAACAAAACTAACTCAGCACCTCGCTTTCAGATGAAATACTAAGAAGTGGGTTTTATGCCAAGTAATCCCATTTTAAAGGGGAAATACAACCAATGCCATAATGGGCTGTGCTCACACAGGGAGCACTGTTTGCAAATTCGTTTCAATATTTCAACTGCAAAAAAATAAGACCGCATGTACCACATCACAGACAGAGAAGTAGTACTACTACTGACTAAAATGTTTACAAAGTAAGTTTGGTGCAGTAAACACAAATGACCACTTTCAAACTAATCATGTAGTTAGTGTGCAAATCTCCCTTCTAAACAACCAAGAGCCGATTTTATTCCAAGATTAATGAGAACCCTTTTTGAGCTAAGGCTGACTAATCATCTGTTTTCACAAGGTTTTCTGGATAAGAGCTTTACTGGTCTAGTTGACTGGTGTAAGACTCCTCTCACAGCAGCCTACTTTTTTTCTAAAAAAGGAGTTTTGTTTTCACTCAATCTGCTTCCCAACCTTGGGGAAGCCCAGTGATGAGTACTAGTGGAACATGTTTAGACAAGGGTAAACGCAAGCCTTCTGCAGCCTAATGTACTTTCTCTCTCTCTTCTTTTGTAGGCTGAGTCTGATGATTTACCCTATTCCTTTAAGTGAGAATTCAAGTTGTGTGTGGTAGTGTACCTCTATAATCCCGGCACTCAGAAAGCTGGGGTACTGCAGGCTTGAGAACCTGCCTCAACTACCCCATACCTAAGCAGAAAATTCTGTCAAGCTATTGCACCTAATTATATAGATTACAAACCATAACCACACATAATAAAGCACAATTTAAATGTTTCTAGTAAGCTAGAGTGAATGAATAATTTTAGGAATATATGAAACTCTTACAAAGTAAAAATAATAATCACCATTTAAGGTAATGGTGATTATTTCTTGACAACTCTGATAAAATTCGCCTGCTCCCAGTCAAGCATGTAATGACTTAACACTCTATTCTCTCTTTTTAAAGATTCTTATTTTATTTTATTTTATGAGTGTTTCTCCCGCATGTATCCATGCACACATGCACACGCACACCTGGTGCCCGTGGGAGTCAGAAGGGTACTGGGTGCTGGGAAGCAAACTGGAGTCCTCCAGAGCAACAGGCTGTCTTAACCATTGATCCATTCCCCTAGGCTTTTAACATTCTGTCCTTAAAAACCGAGCTGCAGGCAGATGGCCCAGCAGTTCCGCGTGTGTGCTGCTCTGACAGCTCAGTTCCCAGCACCCACAACAGGCACTTAGCCTCCTGGACTCCACCCCAAGGGGTCTGACAGCCTCTTCTGGCCTCCACAGGCGCGGTACTTATGTGCACTTACCTCCACATGGACAGCACACATATTTAAGTTACAAAATCTTCCCATTTTATTAAGAGGCAGCTGGGCCTCTAAATTCGCTACACAGTTGAAGGTGGCCTTGAGTTCTTATCTCCTGTCCTCCCAAATGTTGATATTACTATATTACAGACATATACCACCATCCAGCTTCAACGTCTTAGGAAAGCTGTTGTTAAAAATACTATTTCATGCCTGGCAGTGGTGGCGCACTCCTTTAAATCCAGGACTCAGGAGGCAGAGGCAGGCGGATCTCTGTGAGTTCGAAGCCAGCCTGGTCTACAGAGCAAGTGTGAGTATACGTGTGTGTTGTGCATACAAACATGGTGTATGGGTGTATGTGTGTGTGTGTGTGTGTCCCCATACATGTATGTACATGTGTGAATACATGAGTGCACACATGTGTACTTGTGAATATAGAGGTCAACGTTGGGGGTCCTCTATCTATACATACACGTAATTAAAATGAAAGTAAATAAAAATGCATTAGTAGCAGTTGAATAAAATTAACACAATAATAATGCTACTTAAAAATGAATCCAAATTTGGCTGACAAAAATATTTAAAAGATTCCAGTTAGGAGGCCTGGGCAGTCTATGCGGCCTCTTGTGGTAGAACTTGTATTTATTCCTAGTGCACGAATGGACTTTGGGAGCCCATTCTTCCATGAACAGATACTCTCTCAGCCTAAATACATAGGGGAGGGCCTAGGCCCTGCCCCAAATGATGTGACAGTCCTTGATGATCTCCCAAGGAAGTCCTCACTGTCCCTGGGGAGTGGATGGGGGGTGGGACTAGGGGGCTGGTGGGGATGGCATGGGAGGATGGGAGGGACAGGGAACTGGGACTGATATGTAAAATAAGATTGCTTCTAATTTAAATACATACACACACACACATATATATTATGATTTATGCAACACAAAAGACCAATAAACTCCTACCTTTATGAGTATTATTACTTAAATTTCATCCTTTCTTATTTTTTTCAGTTCCTATAAAGCTCTGAGGTTCTGTTCACCTCTGCCCAATATCAACTCTTTTGTCTATTGTTTAATAGTGTTCCCTTTCCTGGTACCAGTCTGTTTGTTTACTTGTTTATTTGTTTTTGCATGCCGGCAATCTTGAAAACCCAGGACTTTGTTCCAGAGTGTCAGGTACTCTAACAATGACATACGCCCTCACCCCCTTTTTTTCCAGTATGAATAACATATAAAAGTTTTGCATTTCTAAACTGTGCAAACATCATTTATTTTAATTACTATGGCATTAAAAAAAAAACACGCCTTTCAACCTAAGAGTCGCCTAGGAGCTGATAGATCAGTACGTAAAGGAAACTGATCAGACTGAAGGACAGACACATTGGCTGCCTGGGTCAGCATCCTCAGGAACTTCCAAGCATTGGGGAATTCAGTCAAAGCTGGTTCCAGCAGTCATGTGATTTTCAGCCTCCATGGAGAAGGAGAAAGTAAGGAGGCCTTGAGAGAACACTGCAACATGGTTACACAACAAGGTCTGCACCAGGGTTGTGCAGGGTGAACTCAGCCTCCTCCCTCACGTCTCAAAATGCAGAGTCTGGGCTGAGGTCCCTTAACAGTCCCACTAGAACAATAGGTATGTGTACACAAAGAAACTTCTACAGCCACCACTGTTGTTCTACTCCCAGAGGGCTTTCTGATAGGACACTCCCCACACGTCCATCCACTGAACTGAAATCTCGTGCCAAGTGAGGTGATAAAAACAGCACATGTTCAGAATCACAGGTTTATCTATCAATAAGCCTTCCCCCAAGACACTTGAGTCTTAACATACTTATGTAAATAGTTGATAGCTCCTATCCACTGTATTCTAAGAGTATCTACCAAGATATAAACACACTTCCTTTTTAGGGGTGAGACAAGAAAAGAGGTTCATCACAGCATCTTTCAGTCCAGTGAGAGAGGGAGACTCAATCTTCCCCAGGGATGAGGCCTTAATTGGTTATCCGATTACTAAGTCCTCAGCCCTGAAACCACACACATACAGGCTACACTAAACAGACTATGCAGGTTGCATTCATGTATTTATGCATATACACACAACAACAATAAATAAAGGAAGACATGAATCTGAGAGGGAACAGGTAGAGCATGGAAGGAGCTGAAGGGAGAAAACAGACAGGGAAATGATGTAATTAGAAAAAAGAAAAAACAATCTTAGCCCCACATTTCTCAGAGTCTTGAAAACTACATAATTACTGAGAAATGAGGAAGAGCAGCAAAGTTTGAAATTTAAGGGCTTCTACCACATGACAGCAGAGAGGGTTTGTAGCTCCTTCTATTAAGCCAGGAGTCTTACCTTACCCTAATTATGTCAAAATACAAGTATGTTTCTATTGGAAGCATGAGGGAAAACCCAAACACAACTGCATTTCAGATTTAATCACGTACTGCTTCATCTTCACGAAATCAAATTAATCTGTAAGCTACATGCGTATACATATTTTTTAGCAAGAATTGGGCACTAACACTTTACATTTTAGTTTGACCTATTTTACACAACCTTTTTAAATCAGTCAACTATAATGCAAAACTTCACATATACACAAAACAGAGTTTGTGGCAAAAAGTGAGTCTAACACCCTGGTTTAAAATGTTGTGAAAACACATTAAAGTACCTTTTAAGAGAGACACTTTAGCAAGAGGTTCATTTAGGTCTTGCTCATCCATCTGGGCGTCTACAAGAGGGAGAAAGAGCATTATAGATTTTTTAAATCTATCAGCAAACTATTATTACCATAATAAATAAAAAGTATAGTTGAAAATAGTTTTAACAAAATAGCCAAGATTTTATAGAGGGATGTGAAAAGTCAAAACACTGCTTTTTCATTAAAAACAAACTCTGAGATTTTCATCCACATTAACCAATAAACCAAAATTGCCAAGAGACTGTTCAGATCTATAAATACTAAGTTAAAACTCACCTGTAGTGTCGTCGCTGCTTTTTTCCTTACTTGGACTCAGAGTATCTGATAAGTCAGATTCCTTTGCTCTTGCCTGGTTTTCTATTAGGAAAAACAAAAGTCAAAATATTATTATAATTCAACACTTCCTATAAAAAAAACTGTTTTAAGCATGAATGCCTAGAATCTATGCCTATGCAAAATAGTGTTAAAAATCAACTAAAATCACTGAATCTTCTTGTTCTTCACCACCCGATCCAAAATGCAATGCTGGTTATTTCTCGGAGCTCACAGCAAATCACACTGTGGACTCTGCCTGCTATGCAGAGGGCTGTGGCTCTTATTCAAGGCTGTCCACTTATCAACTGGGAACGAAAAACCCAGCAAGCTTTGTTACAGTAATCAGGGGAGCACAGCAAATGCAGCAAAATTCCCAGGGCAATGAGGACACCATCTAAAAATGGTTGAAAGAAAAGGCTGGACGCTTAACTTAGCGCAGAGTCAAAAAAAAAAAAAAAACCTCTAAAACTCACAATTATAAAAGCACCCCTTAAAATGATCAGCCTGTTTCTAAAGACAACACAATGAATGGGAATTGCAACAAGAAGGGAAACCTGTTTGAAAGGGCCTGGTGGTGTTTTCAAGAGCTACTCTGCCACATCTGGCCAAGTATTTCTAGGCCATTGCTCTCAAAGGTCCAAAGGTCCAATCATAGACCTACAGTTTATCAAAGATGAGGAGTGACTAAGTCACAATCAATATAGTAGCATATCTATTTGTTCTACGGCATTCTTTAGGACAGGGATTACGGAGGTCATTCCCTCAACTAAAATTCTATAGCATCATTTCTAGGCATCAACTAAGCTTTATATAGCAAAATTTAGCTAGAATGTCATCCCTGTATTGACTCCCAAGGGAGTTCAGTTATGCAGGTTTCTGTATAGGGCTGTGAATAACAGCTCATTACAGACTGCAATTCTTTGCTTGAATCTACATTTCCCTACAGTCATTTCTCTATCTGGCCCATGCTGCAAAGTATAGATTTTACCTCACTGCTTCTAAGTGAACAATTATTTCTCTAGTATATTATTCTTTTATATTACATCTTTTCTGTTGTGTGCCCACCCCCCACCGTTGATCATACTCCACGTTCTGGGGATTTATAGATGTTATTTCTCTAAAGAGATAATCATATTCATCACATGGATTACTATCTTCATGTTCAAAAATAATCATGGCACATATCTGATTGTACCATTTGTGACAATATATATCAAAATTTAAAGTAGGCAAAGCCATGACCTGGAGCGATGGCTCAGCAGTTAAGAGCGTTTCCTACTCTTGCGGGGAATCTTGGTTTGGTTCCAGCACCAACAGTGTGGCTAACAGAGAACTGTAGCTCCAGGTGCTGGGGCTCCAACACCCTTCTCGCCTCTGTGGGCATCAGACACATACATGGTGCAATACATACATGCAGAACAATACTCATACATGTAAAATTAACAAATCTAATAATAAATACATAGAATTCATAAACCCACTTTCATTTTTCCCTAAGGAAATGATGGGCTATGTGAGGTATTACCTAAGGATGCTCACAAAAGTACAGTCATTGTGGGAAGACTAAATGTGCAATGAAAATACTTAATATTATTAACTAAAAACTAAAGCACAATGGATATATGTACATATAGAGATTAAAATATTTATATATTTAGTTAAAGCTATTTAGATGTTTTGTTTCATTTTACTTCTCCACATGGCCCCTTGTTTTTTCTTTCCTGAGACAGGGATTCATTGTGTAGCCAGTTCATGCTTACCACTTACTTGTGAATCTCCTGCCTCAGCTAGTAAGTGTTGGGATTACAGCCCATACCCAACAAGCCATGAAGATTGTGTTACATGTGCATTTTCAAGGCCCAGTAGCACAACAAAGGGATCAATCAATGCTTATGGCCAGAAATGGGCACATGAGGGCATTTATTAACTTCACTAAATCCATTCAAGATGGAACAGAAGACAGAACAAACAAATGAAAGAACATCTCTTTCTTTTTAAAACATCTTTTTGGTCATGAAGCAGTATCTAACTTCGTAATATTAAAAAGTTATTGCTAGAGCTAGAGAGATGTCTATAGTTAGGACATTGCCTTGCTCTTCAGATGATTTGAGTTAAATTCCCAGCACCTGACTTGGTCAGCTCACACCACCTGTAACTCTAGCTCCACAGGAGCTAACACATTCTTCTGGATTCTGAGGGTACCTGCACTTACATGCGTATGTCAACAGAGACAGACATATAACAAACATATAATCTAAGAACAGCAAAAATCAAATCTCTAAAAAGTACAAACTATTTCCGGTTCACTGTAGATGTGTGTCTGCATCTGAGTCTGCGCACACTAATGTAAGTCCCTAAAGAGGCAGAGATGTCTGTCTCCCTTGAGATGAACTCAGACGGTTGTGCAACACCTAATGTGGGTGCTGGGAACTGAATTCTGGTCCTCTGAAAGAGCAGTAAGCAATCTTAACTGCTGAGCCATTCCTTTAAAAAGGAATTCGTTGCTGGACATCCACAACTAAACACTGAGCTGAACTCTGGAATCCAGTTGTAGACAGAGAGGAGTGATTAGCAAAGGGGTCAAGACCAGGCTGGAGAAACCCACAAAAACTGCTGACCTGAGCAAGGGGGAGCTCATGAACCCCAGACTGATAGTTGGGAAACCAGCATAGGTCTGATCCAGACCCCCTGAACATAGATGCCAGGTTAGTCTATGGGACCTCTGGTAGTGGATCAGTATTTATCCCAAGTACACAAATGGACTTTGGGAGCCCATTCCACATAGAGGGACACTCTCTCAACCTAGACACATGGGGGAGGGCCTAGGCTTCAAATGATATCAAAGACTTTGAAGATTCCCCCATAGAAGGCCTCACCCTCCCTAGGAAGCAGAAAGGGGATGGGACAGGGGAGCGGTGGGGGGTAGGGTAGGAGGGGAGAGGGAACTGGGATTGACATGTAAAACAAGCTTGTTTCTAATTTAAAATAAAATACACTAAATTAAAAAAATACATTGCTGATTGATTTTTTTCTCTCTCCAGTGTTTCATCATTAAGACACATATAAAATAAAATGGAAGAACTAGCAACACGGTAACAAAACTACTCCTAAACTGTTGCTCTGTCTCATGAGGAAGCGCAACCACCAAAACACAGCCACACCAACCATAGGCCACTCTGGGTATACCACTGGGCCCGTTAAGTGGAACGAAAGTAAATCTGAAGATTCGGAAGGAAATCGAACTCACATTTCTTGTTTTTGTTTTAGACAAGGTCTCACTCTGTATCTTAAGCTGGTCTGGAACTCGATATGTAGCCCAGAATAGCCTCAGATTCATGGCAATCCTCCTGCCTTAGCCCCCTGTATTCTGGGATCAGAGTACCGAATCTGGCTGCATTATCCTTTGTCCAACATCAGAACAGTACTTCCTGCTTTATAATCATTAAATTCCCACAAAAGGGCCAGCAAGACAGCTCAGCAGATGAGGGCACTGCTTCCAAGGTGACAACCAGAGCTCAGTCCCCACATGCTGTCACCCATCCTGTGTATGCTATGGCATGCCATGCAAGTGTGCATACCCACACCCACAAATAAACACACAAGTGTCTTTTTAAGACCACAATAATCCTGTAAGTTAAATTCCATTGTACAAATGAGGAAAGTAAACTTGGGCATGCTGGGACATATGTAACCCAGCACTGAGGGATGCTGACATCAGAGCAGCATGGCTTTGAGTCCAGTCAATGACGCACAGTGAGATCCTGTCTCAAAAACAACCAACCTAACGCGCACACACACACACACACGCACACACGCACACCAAGAACAGCAGGGAAACTGAGGTTTAAGGTCTAAAGTGAGCTAACTGAGGGTATAGTTAATAGAAATGTCTACTTGTAACCTTTTTACCTCTAAGCTACTATGGATACATAATGACAGTAACTTCAGTTAGTCCTTAATCAGAAGGCACATGCAAGACATGATGAGGGAAGCCTTCAGAGGAAACAGTAAGACTGGTAACAACTGATGATTTAATTCTTAGCAGCTGTCCTTTTCAAGGAAATGAAGACAAAGTTCATTAAAAAAATCACTAAATGAATTTTCAAAGACAAGTAATTTAGTCAAATTCAAGAGAAATATTTTATAGCCAGATTGAAAACATTTAAAAATATAACTACTGTGTCTACCCAACTTGCTCTCAGGAGTCTGGCAATGTGAAAAGTATTAACAAACATTAATTAATAAAACTTACATTTATATTATCATTCTTAGAAAATGAATTAAGCTCACTTGCCTGGAATTATATGCCATAATATATCTAATAAATATCTGACGGAAACAAAAAGCCTTGGGCACTTGTCCAGTTTGTTCCACAAGATAAAAACCCAGCTATTGTGGTTGTTCCCATTTGTAATCTCAGTATTCAGGAGGCTGAGGCAGAAGCTCAAGGCTAAACAGAGGTACACAGTGAGAGCCTTTCTCAAAAAAAAACAAAAAAAAAACCAAAAAAAACAAAAGTAGAAATGCTGAATCAAAACAGGTTCTTCAAAACTTTCTAAATGTATTTTAAATCCATCATTTTTTAAAATCAGTAAGGTTGCACGCATCTTCTGCTGAACCTTCACCTGATTTCAAGCAAATATATTCTATTCCAGAATGCGAGAAGTACTAAGGTAGCAAGGCACTTTTCCTAAAGAAGCACCAGTCACCTTCCCCCTCGCCATGTGAAGTGCCAGTTACTCAATCAACAGATTAGAAGAGACACTTAGGTAGTGAAGTAAAGGTTATTTTAAAATCTGTTCTCATCTCACTTGAATAAGATGAAATAAATTGCATATGTACTAAAAATAGTTCACTATTCTGAAACCTAATGCTTGTTTGCCAGAACAATATTAGCATGCAAGGTCTGTGCATTCTTTCTCCTAATATGGCATCCGCTGTGCGCAAAACTTATAATGAAAGCTACGAGATATCCAAATGACACAATCTGTTTTAAAACACTTTAAAAAGCAAACAAACCTCTGGCAATACCAAATATACTAAAATCAAGCATTAAAAACTCAGAGCTTTCATTGTTTTAACTGACTAGGGTTGTGAAGCTAGTTTTAAAATCTTATGCTGGCAAAGTCTGATGAAAGTTCCATTCTAACAATGAACGCATCCCACCAGATTTATTAAACTTGTTTTCCTATGCTTAAAAGTAATGGTATGATGCTTTAAACCTTAAATTTCTTCCCTGAGCTTAACCACAGTAAAGAAAGAAAATAAGAAAGAAAGAAAGAAAGAAAGAAAGAAAGAAAGAAAGAAAGAAAGAAAGAAAGAATCTGCTTTGAAGAACTACTGGATTGTTAATTATCAAATATAACACAATTTTACATTGACAAAATTCATCACTTTTTATTTTAATCAAATTGAGGTAACAAAACAGAAAAATACTGAATATCACAAGGAATGTTAAAGATACAAAAGTTTTCAAAATAAATTTTAAGTTATTTTTCACTGCTAAAAGGTCTGCATTGTATTGACTAAAATTTTGAGATGAAAACATTGTAGAAATGAGACAGAAAGGTCAAAAGCAAACCTACCACAAGCATTTAATTTAAAACGATATATAAATGCCTACATTTTAAAAAACTTTCCTATTTTTTCTTAAAGTGGACATCCAAATATTTTATGTAATATATGATACTGTTACTAGGTTAACATTTTATACACTATAAGATATAAATTCAAGGCTAAAATATAGCACCTTTAACAATTTTAACTAACTTTCATTATCCAAAGTAACTGTCAGACCAGAGGAAACAGGAAACCAACCTTTTGAAAGCTTTGATTCTTCTGCCACTTTGGTTAGATGCCCCTGGACAATCAGCTTCTCTGCCAAAGAAAATAAGTGTTACTACCCAAGCTCAACAGAGCCGCATTCCCTGAGTGGAGCAGGGCAACACATTCCATGACCAAATTTAAAGACGATAGCACTACCCCTGTGACCAAGCCTCAACAAAAAGCTTGACCCTAGGAACGGAGCTAGAGAACTGAACTCACTAGAACAATCAAATTGACCCAGAGAACTGGTAAAGATTATACCTCCTGTTTTCATTAGATACCATCATTTTGTAAAACCTAGACCTTTGTAAAAGGAAACAAAAGAAACAAACATTGTGATCTCTTTATGTATGAGCATTAAATTGAAATAAAGGAATTCTGAGAAGGTGGTTCACTTAAAAGAAGAGAAACAATGCTGTACAGATAGTTCACTCTTTCCTGTCGATACAATTAGCATAGATCAAGAAAATGGATGATTTTAGAAGAGCTAGCCATCCTTAAGAAATAAAAAATAACTGTACTTTACTGAGTACTCTCTGTAAGCATTTCATACATCTTTACAACTTACTTGAAGTTATCTTTTCACATTCTGCATTTCAATGAGGCAGGTAATATAACTATTCTGCATATTTCATTCTTTACTCCTGTATACCAGCTTTGCACTCTGAGAAACAATGTTTCTGTTCTTTGACTATTCAGCTTAGTCTTCACTCACTAATCAATGACTGAATAACACAATCACCAACCCAACCTCTTGGTTGCCCAAATCCACAGCTCCTTCTCATTCCTTACAAGTTGTTTATCTGCCTTCCTTAAAAACAAAGATAAGGTTCTTAGGAGGGAAGGGTAGTAGGGACTGAAGTCTTGTATAAAACAGGCAAATACTTAATCACTGAGCAATATTCCCAGCCCTCTTTGTAAATTTTGTTTTGAGACCTAAGTTGCCTACACTGGCCTTGAACTTGTGATTCTCCTCCTTCACCCTCCAAGGTAGTTAGGAATACAGACCCATGCCACCAGAACCAATTTCACAGACGAACTGAAGAGGCACTAGTCCTGCAAGACATGAGGCCTGGCCTGCCCATTGTCTGTCTTACTCTACTCCACTCCCAAAATGCACTTCCTAACCATTTTCCCATTATTTACATTTGCATTTATTTATTTGGTTGGCTGGTTGGTTGTTTGGGTTTTTTGAGGCAATGTGTCACTACAGAGCCCAGGGTACCATGGAACTCAAAGTCTTTCTGCCCCACCCTCAAAGTGATGATATTAACAGGCTTTATTTCTTTCCTTACACAACATTCAGCATACTAAACACTTTTTAAAAGTGATACATGTATTTTTTTCAGTATAAGTTCTCACAAAAACAAAATTCCTGACATCACACATCTCTCCATCCCTCCCTTCCCCCGCTTTTTGTTTTTTGTTTGTTTGTTTGTTTGTTTAAAGATACGGTCTTAACTATGTAATCCAGGCTGGCCTCCAATTTTAGATCCTCCTGCCTCAACCTCCCAAGTACTTATTTTACTGTATCTCACCTGGCTTTTCTCAGCATTTTAGTTTCACCGCCTTGGTCTCAACTGTACTCTGCACTGTAACTCTGACCCTGATTCCAAATCTTTGTTTTATTCTTTTTATTACTGTAACATAACTTCTGATAATTTCAAGAAAAGGAACGGACAAGGGGTAAGTGATTGTCACTCTTTTCCTCTGAAATGCTAGTTTTCTACGAATACTCTGATAGTTATCTGACAGTTTAACTAGGCCCCATGAAACTACTTAACTTCCGGGTTTGAAAACTGCACTGCCCTGCTGTTTCCTAGCTTCCACTTGGGGGAGTCCAACCATGATTGTCCCAGCGATGAGTCCTGTCCATCATGGGTGGTAAGGATTTCTAGTGCTTACAATGCCAGATCTGCCTGTTCTTTCTCAGTACCTGGGGGTGACACCTCCCACCTCTGTGGCACTAAGAAAGGTCTGTAAGACCTAGGTTAGCCAGGGCCAAAGCATTTAAGAGAAGACAGGAGTTTCCGACTTCTCACTCACGCCCACCCCACAGTACAGGAACCCCAGAATCATCTTTCTGAGATAGCAACATCATGGTGAAGACTATTAACTTTCATAAACCCCAAGGAACGATGTGGCACAATGTTCTCTCATCACAACAGACAAGCAGCGTAAATGAGAAACAAATGCTTGGCAGATTAAGCTATTAAGAATCCAGAGATGGTTCAGTGGCTAAGAGCAAGAGCTCTTCAGAGGAGCGGGTTCCATCCCCATCATCAGCATGGTGGCATGCCCACAGTACTCAAGCCCAGGGGACCTGACACGCTCTTCTGGCCTCAGTGAGCACCAGGCATGCACATACTACAAGCACATACATGCAGGCAAAATAATCACACATACAAAATACAAATAAATCTAAGATGCTGAAAGACACTTAAGAAAGTGCTCAACATCCTTAACCATCAGGGAAATATGAATCAAAACAACTCTGAGATACCATCTTACTCCTGTCAGAATCAAAAACACCAATGCACTGTACCTTTTAGTAATAAAAATCATCTTTTCCTTGTTATACAGAAATACCTAAGTTTCTGAAAAAATAATTGTTAAAAAAGCTTTCTTCTGCTTTATATATTTCCCCTGATTCTTCCCTGATCACATTTCCTGTTTCTCTCATATTCAAACCTGGCAGAATTTTAGAAGCATGAACAGGACACATGGCAGTGCAGTAGACCTGTGAGTACTGGTACCTGTATGGACCAGTGAAGGAAGCAAATGGCATACTATTCTTTAGGTAATCCATATCCTTGCTTAAAGCGCCTCCGCTCCTGAGCTCCTAGTGCCTTTGGTGTCTAGACTGTGGGTTTAACTTACCTATTCCCTGAAGAGTAGGAAACAGAGAAGAATCCCAAATCTCTTGCATGTGATTTGGGGGGGGGGAGGATTCCAAAATTTTGTTGGCACCTATGGCTTGCTGTAGCCTTTTCTTCTATTCTCTTTGTCTTCGTGATCTTCTGAGTCTGTTGTTGTAAATGCTTTCACTCGATGTATTTAATCAAACATTTACAACTGCCTTCTAACTCTCTTACTTCTGGGCACCTCCGATCACTCCCATCCGTCTGACCATTCCTTTCTTAGACTCTCACGGCCGCTTTCTCCATCTGGCTAATTTAAATATGTATACTTGGGCCCCAAGATTTTTGTTAATGTCAATAAAACTCATTTTTTCATAGCCTTTATTACTTGCAATTGAACTATTTCTATTTTTGGTTGTGAGCCTAGCCTTTAACGGCTGAGCCATCTCTCCAGCCCGACAATTGAACTATTTCTAAAGGTTGGTGGCAAGTCACATGTTCTCTTACTTTCCAGAACATAATCTAGTCTCTACTTTCTAGATATCTTCACCCAGAATCCCACAGAAACAAGGACTAAAGCTGAATTTCTATTGTCTTCCTTTCTTCTAAATAATACTGGTGTCCTTCCTCTCCTTACAATGTTCTTTATCTAAATCCCTTTGACAGGATGCTGCAGCTGCCCGTTATGTCTACCTTCTTCAATTCACTAAAAATTACTGGTGGGTCTGCTGAGAGAAGGGCTGCTCGCTCCTGTCTTGCTCCTCCTCTGTGGATTGAGGCAGGGTCTCTTCCTGGACGCCGTGTTGTCCTAGTCTACTCAGTGCTATGACTGCAGGCGTGTGCCATCACATCTGGGTATCTATCTCCACGTGTAAGCTGTATGCATTTAGTGTGAACACACACAGAAGAACACTATTTTAAAAGATAAGTGTTGGGGCTGGAGAGATGACTCAGCAATTAAGAAAACTGGCTACTCTTCCAGAGGGCCCAGGTTCAATTCCCAACACCCACATGGCAGCTCGTAACTGTCTGTAACTATACTTCCATGGGATCAAACACCCTCGGACATGAATGCAGACAAAACACCGATGCACAGAAAATAAAATTAAATTGAATCTCTAAAAGAAAAAAAGGATAGGTGTTTACAAAGTGAATGTTGATGCCAGCCCTCCATATTCTCCTTTCCTTCCCCCCAGCAAAGGCCAGGCTTGCCTGGCTTTCATAACCCTCACTCTTTCACATTTATGTGTCTCCTCCACATTGGGTTTTGAGGGATGCTTTCTCACTGTTGCTGGTGCTCACCACTCAGCTAGGCCAGCCGGCCAATACAACACGAGTCTTCCTGGCTTTGCCTCCCCGCCTCTGGGATTTCCGGGATGTGCCACCATGCCGGGTCTTTAACCCTGCTGCTAGACATCCTTCTGGTCTTTATGCTTTACAACAAGCACTTTACCAACTGAGCTACCTATCTCCCTGTGCTCTCTCTCACATTCTTGAGTCACACTGCCCAAACATATCTGACTAAACGCAATGTGAATGGTTTTAAACTGCCTATAAATCAAATGCTATACTGTGTATTCTTACAAATCAGTTTCTTTCATACAATAGATTACAGTGCATCTATTCACTTATATTGAAAGTCTTCTAGATTGTTTCCAGTTTTGAATATTATAAACACTGCTCCTGCAAACATCCTTGAATTTTAATCTGATACATCTCCTTGGGCACTTCTACAAGGAGCTCATTCTAGGGAACAGAATTGACAACATAATTTTAACTACATAATTTTAACAACTAAGTATTTAGTTAAGCTAGAAAGTATAGGATAATACAATTACAAAATCTACCAGATTACCAAAACATAATAGATGAGAACTAAACTTTTTCTTGGTTCGCAAGAAGAAATTATGTACCACATTACTGTGTGGTACAAAATAAAAATAAAGAACAAAATAGTGTACCAAAAAGAAGACTAACAGAGCCGCAGGTGTGCAAACACACCAGCCATCAAAATTCTGTAAATGGCATATATACTGGCAATTAAAAAGCGAAACTCTATAGATTCTGAAAAAAAAATAGTAGAGTAACATGAGAAAACAAAGCTAGTCCAGCTGGCTTGCCAAGCTACATGCCTGGGATAAAGAATGAGGAGACAGGGTACTGAAGGAAAAGTTTCTGCTAACATCTCCCCACAGTTCCAAACATATATGTATCTCCTCCCTCCTGGTTCACAGAGTATGTGATTATGTGCCAAGATTAGACAGCACCCAGGAAATACAATCTCAACTAAGTTCCAGAAATATGTCATGAGGTACAACCACCTCATTTTGCAAATGAAGGAGTTAAGACTAAAGGAGGTTAAATTGCTAGTAGTCATACTGTCGTTGAAAAACCCTATCAAGATTCCTCTCATAACATCATAAATGCTAGTAGTCATACTGTCGTCGAAAAACTCTATCAAGATTCCTCTCATAACATCATAAATGCTAGGAGTCATACTGTCGTTGAAAAACCCTATCAAGATTCCTCTTATAACATCATAAATGCTAGGAGTCATACTGTCGTCGAAAAACTCTATCAAGATTCCTCTCATAACATCATAAATGCTAGGAGTCATACTGTCGTCGAAAAACTCTATCAAGATTCCTCTCATAACATCATAAATGGAAATGAGGCAAAGTCACCCGCAGGGTTGTTTTTTAAAAAGCAATACCAAGAATAAACATATTAGACTAAACATCAGGATGTAATTAGTTAGCATTCAACGTCAGCTAGCAAAAGGCAACTCACTAGCAGAAGCACAGCTTCAGAACTTCATAGAAGGGCTCCGTGTTTGCATTTTAATAATTCAGATACCTGTAGTGCTATCCATTTCTAGTGTAGTAAAATTAATTAAAGCAATTCTTGCTATAGAAGGCATTCTGGAAGCTGTTTTAAAACAGGGGATATTGAGGGGGGTTGGGGGAGGGCACGGGAGGAGGGGAGGGAAACGGAGAGGGACCTGGAACTGACTGACTTGTGAAGCAACCTTGTTTCTAATCTAAATTTAAATTTAAAAAGAAAAAAAAATAAATACAAGAAAGAAAGAAAGAAAGAAAGAAAGAAAGAAAGAAAGAAAGAAAGAAAGAAAGAAAGAAAGGGATTCAGAACTCAAAGACAGATGACAACATGGTGGAAACAGACCAATTTCAAGAACCGAAGGATTGTTTCTGCAAACATAGCACTGGAATGAATTTACAATTGCTCTCTTCCAGCCATTCAAGCATTAAAATTCCTGTCAACAAAAACTAGTCCACACAAGGAAAACATTGAAACATGTTCCTGCTCATTGACTTCTACAAAACCAAGCTACTCCTCTCACACGGGTTCGCGCAGGCTCACTGGAATATCTCCCAATATACTAAACAGAGATGAAGAGGCCAATGGAAGCGAACCATGCGCTTGTCTTAGTTTTTAAGACACTGACTTTATGCTACACAAGTCCAGTAAATAATAAAGACAAGGTATTTGACATTTGCTTTTAAAAAGACGGCAAACAGGAATCTGAAATACTCCTGCACACTGAATATATACTTTGTGACACCTAGCCTCTTGAAAACAGTGAGAGAGATTGTGTATGGCTGTCAATACGTAATTCCAAACTACTCTAAAACTCTTCTGATAAGTTTGCCTGAACAAGGTCTTTGCTGAATCTCCTTGCTTGTGGCAATACTCATTAAACTTAATGTCTGCAATGGTTGCTTGCCATAAAAAATGACCCCTTTAACAACAGCAAGGCTCAAGGTAACCCTTCCTCTAGTAATCATACATTTAGGAGCCAAATTAATCTGGAAATTTTGAGAAGACATCTGGAATCATCAAAAGCAAACTGCTGCTACCTAAAATTCAGAGACCACATTCTAACAAAAAGCCCTCTCTCAGTCAGAACAGAAATGAGCCTTTCACGTTTTGCCCTAAAAATGCAATAGATTCCGATGCATACAACCCTTGTGTTTTGTTTTGTTTCCTGATCTTTGCTCTGCCTTTTGTATACAAGAATAAGGTTTATATTCTGACTTTTCTTCTGTGAACCACAGGTTCAGTATTTTCCCATACAGTCACAGAGTCTGCACAAACATCACATGATTAGTTCATATTCTTATTGACAGGATTTGCTGTAACTTCTATAACTTCTGTTTTCTTAATGTTTTTGGTGCATTTTCCCACATAAGCATAATATAATTTTAAAAATCCCTAAACAGATTTAAAATAAACAGTAATACTTTAAATGTGTAATATAAAATAGACATTTAAAAAGGTTTTCTGTTTCCTTTTTTAAATAGGCAAGTGATAAGAACAAGGACTAAGACCTTCATTTGTTACAAAATAAGGACTTCTGAAAATCACAACTCAGCAATAAACAGTCCTCCAATAGTCCTGTCATTTCCTGAGTTTTAAATACAAATTCTAAAAGCTCAAAAAATAGTGTAAAAGTAGCATTACATATAATAAAAGTATAAAATGTCTTCTAGGGTCTGGGTTTAAAATTGTGTCCTCTTGCTGATTTCAGTGGCTATGGATTATCTTGCCCCACAGAAATCACTGTGCCAGTTCCCTAAGTGAGATACAGTGATCAAAAGGTTTAAAAAAAAAAAACACCAATTTTGGTTCACAAGTATTAAGAGTATAGAAAGATGCTACATTTATTAAATAAGCTACCTTAAATAGCTCTAAATTTTATTACAGCATCTAAAACTGAAGGGGGGGAACAGGAGCTCTTCTAAGCATTCAATGCTATTACACATTTTTCTAAATATCCCCCCAGGAGTTATAACTGGGACCCACTGGAAGTATATGCTCTAAATTAAGGTATGGCCCCTATAACCTCCAGTGGTCCCAGAGTTAAGAATGGGGTAAACATATATACATGGACAGTCACAAAATAAGAGATGGATAAAAACCTGGAAAACCATTCATTTCAAAGGGAGAAGAAAGAAAAACATTCTTGAGAGTATTTGCCTGACAGGAAAGGATACTCATATAAGCACGGCTCTGGTATAAATGGTGACCTTTACTTGTTACTAACAATACCAAAAATGTCATAACTGTTAGAGAGTTAAGATGCCATATGGTTTTCAAATAAAAGGGTCTCACAACATTTTGTTTAGAACTCAGGAGGGGTCTAAATCTCCAATAGCCAGACTACCGTAAGTATTCCTAAAGACAGCCTTTGGGACTTGCAAACGGTGGTCAGTCAAACCAGAGTGTCAGACAACCCATCCCCTAAAATAAAAGGGGTCATACTATGCCGAGGGCCATCTTAGGAACCGAGAGCCCCAAAAGACTATTCGGCTTTTATTGGCTTCGTTTAATCTAAGAAATGTATTTAAGAATCTCAAAATTCAATCCGTGATAGAACTAGAACTTAAATAAAGAAGCCATATTACCACTATTTCTTCATCAAGAAAGGTTAGATGTGAACTGCAGAAATGGTTCAGCAGTTAAGAGCACTCTGTCTGCTCTTGCAGAGGACCTAGGGTGGATTCCCAGCACCCACATGGCAGTTTACAACTCTGTAACTCTAGCTTCAGAGGATCTGAAGTCTTCCTCTGGCCTATAAAAGCATTGCACACACATGGGGCACAGACACACACATGGGCAAAACAAATTCACACACACACACACACACACACACACACACACACACACAAAACAATTTTAGCAAGATAAAGTTAGGCACTTCACACCCCAAGCAGTCTGTTTTATTCCCCTGATGAGCGACTTTTAATCAACAAGTTTGAAATCCTTCCTAGGTGTTTCTGCATGTGTTTGTATAGTGCCCACCAATATGAGATGTTCTGCTCCATATGTGAAGGCAACTGCAATAAGATTATTTTGCTCAAAAAAGAGAAACTAATAAAGTTGCTGATGCCTGAAGATAGTTACTTGCATACTTGTACTACAACAAATACATTGATTCCCACGTTTTCCCTCTGACGTCATAATTTCAGTCCCTGGTTTCATTAAGACCAGTGTGAAAAACACTCTGTACTCACTCTGGTACTCTATGAACTGGTGAATAAAAGTGCGGTCCTCGCCACTCTTTGAAAGCAAGTGCTCTAATAAAGAAAGAAAGACCTTTAAGGATATAGTTTGTTGCTGTCTTGAAATAAACAACAACAGCAAAGGTTTAAAAAATGAAATATTTAACATAGGTAACTGAAAAGGACTAATAAAGTTGAATATATTTTAACACATATTTTGGAGTTAAAAAACTGAAAGCTGTAATTTAAATAATCACTACTTTACTCTGAATGACTGACTAGCTTTTAAAGGTGCAGTCTTTACCCAGAGAGCTGAAAAAACAAACAAAACAAATATATTGCTTTAAAAAGCTTTTTCTACTTTTCATATGTACCTTTCTCCATAAAAGGTTTGTAAATCCTCTTAAGTGATTTTTGTGGTTTTACTATTGAATTAGTTTCAGGTTCTAACAGTCTCTCTTTAAAGCTGCTGGTCTTAGATGTGAAAGGTAAAAATTGTAAGAATATGTAATATCAGTCAGGCACGGGAGCACATGCCTGAAATTCCAACAGGCAGGAGGGTGCGGGAGAGGACTGGCCTGAGGTGGGACCAGCATGGGCTGCAGTGACTGTCAAGAGAACTTGGGCTGAGATAGGAGCTGATGCAAATCTACATCTAAATGCATGTGTGCACGTGTGACGTGGAAGTAGGAAGGACTGTGTAGGGTGAGGGAGCAGCCTAAAAGGAGAAAGAATAGGAAGGGTAAAGGGAGGAGAAAACGGCAAGTACGTATGATCTAGCTTAAAGTCACTTCTTTATGAAAGCAAAAGGAACACTGGCGAAAGGAGGAGAATTAGTGAACAGGGAAATAAGGAAAGGCAAACATGCATAAAAATGCATAAACCTTCATGAATGCTTACCAAAAAATTTAAAACCTACTTGGAACCAAACCTGAACATACCTAAAGGACACTTCTCTGAAACCAAATTTCAGACGAATACTAACCAATTTCTGGTGACTCTTACTAAAAATAGGTTCCCAGTTAGTGGAACTGTCTGGGAAAGATTAGGAGGTGTGGCCTTTTGGATGAGGTGTGTCACTTGGGGTGAGCTTTAAGGTTTCAAATGCCCCCCAGGCCCTGTCCCACACTCTCTTGGCACGCGATCTGCAGATCAGATGTGAGCTGTCGGCTACTTCTCCACCACCATGATGACACACGCCCATCCTCTCCAACTGTAACCCAATCAAATGCTTTCTTTGTAGCTGCCCTAGGGTCACGGTCCAGCTCTGCACAGCAATAGAACAGTAACCTCAACACCCACTGCTACTCACTAAGCTAAAGATCGCCCTCTGTCTACTCTAGTTTTATATGTAGGAACCCACAAAGGTCAGAAAAGAATGCTGGATCCCCTGAAGCTAGAGTTACAGGTAGTTGGGAGCTGCCATGTTGGTTCTAGGAATCAAACCTGGATCCTCTGGTAGAGCAGTAAGTGTTCTTAACCATTTTCCATCTTTCCAATGCCCTATGTACTCTATTTTTAATATCTGAACCCAACCCTGAAAATATTTAGCAGAGTGGATTAGATAAAGTGTTATTAAAGTAAAAATGTAAATATATATGTGTCATATCTACAAAAGCACCTTTTACATGCATTAAGACAACATTGTCACAATCTATATAAAGCATTTCAAGTATAACACTTAATAGTCTATTACTTGAATTCAGGTCGTTAGAAATTAAGGTGACACAACTACAGAACATATTACTGGTGATCCAAAGGAATTCAGATGTTTATTGGATGGAAAACTAGTCTCTATGCTATTGGTTAAAGCTAAACAAATGGAGAAAATGGGAAACATGGAAGCATAACATAAAAAGCCATTCTATTTAGAATGAATCTTTTATACAAATGAGTTTCCATGGGTTCAGTTTTCTTTATTACCCATGTTGTAGCTATGCTACTGTAACCATTAACTGCACATGCCACTAAGCATTTAAATGTGGCAAGCATAAAATAAATACATGATTTCAAATACCTACTAAGGAAAATAAATGTGAAATGCTTCATTAATAATCCTTAAATGCAGGTTATATGTTTAAATAACATTTCTGATATTATTGGTTAAATAAAATTTAGTATTAAAATGAGTTTTACTTGCTTCCTTTTAAACCTTACTGTAGTTACCAGAAAATTTTAAATTTTACAGTTGCCCTCATATTGCTTCTAGACAGCCCTGTTTACGCTAATATATGTTAAAATAATCCTATTTTTAAAAGCAAAAGTTTATGGTACAAAGTCTGTGCTTGTAAGAAAGTTAAGTCATTTCAGAAAGAGTTCACTGGCAGAAGTATGAACTGTACGATCTCTAGATACTGCTGCCAGTTCTCTTATACCTACACTTAATATTCTACTACTTGAAGGATGATGCTTGAAAAGGTAAAGAAATAGCTGCACACACGTGAAAGCTTACTTTCACAACGCCCTCCTAGCCGCTCTCATGCTACTCCAAGACCCAACTGTTCAACAGTGGAGCAATAGCTTTAGCGAGCAACTTCTCATAACAATATACAGTTTTGATATTAGATTAAGGAGGCTATGACTATTTGTAATAGGAATACAGTGTGTTAGTCTAAATTTTCTGGCAAAAAAATTACACGGCAATTTGACAACTCTACTTAAAAGATGGTTTTATATATATATTAAGATTCCTAACTGAGTTAATAAAAGTTCTCAGCTTACATTAATGTAACACTTGACACATATTCAAGGAAAATATGGATTTCAAGTAGTCAAAAAAAACAAGCAAAATAATAGTAGAAAAACAAAAGCATTAAAGGAAAGACTTGCTCATTTAACAAAAATTTGCTAAATACTTTTAATAAATAGCAACTAAAAGTTTTAGCAAAATGAATATCAATATAAACTACACCTTTAAAATTTCTCGAAACCTCAAATCTGAAGAACTTAGGCATTTTACAAAACACATAGAGCAGTCAAATAGCAATGAATAATTTTTTCTCAAGAAACTAACATGTATACTACATGCAATATTAGACTTGACCATATAGCTCACATACACACGATTACCTGGACCTGCTTTGGCAGTCACTGTAAGAACTTTTTCCCTTTTTGAATGCTGGGATTGAACCCAGGGCATAAACTAGGAAAACTCATGAAGCTACATCTGCAGCTCATCCATTTTTATTTAAAGCAAATCAAAGGAAACTATTTCTTAACTGTGACCTCTTGCCATGAATGATAAGGATGTACCCTGATATGCGGAAAACAGTTTCATTACAAGTTTTATTTCTGATCTTGATATCTTACACTAACTTCTGTGTATTAAAATGAGATGATAAACACATCAGTGTGCACTGAAAATGACTTCACTCCTTTAGTACTCCAAACACGCAATGTTAAGACTAAGTACATAGCTGCAGTTGGTACTCAGTGAATCTTAGAGGGAAGAGTCTTAAAACTTCAGAGCTATAAAAGCCATCGATCTAAAAGTGTCCCATTTGCTGGGCGTGGTGGTTCATGTCTTTGATCTCAGCATGGGGGGCAGAGGCAGGCAGATCTCTGTGAGCTCTCTGCCAGCCTGATTTATAAAGTTAGTTCTAGACAAGTCAAGGTGACACAGTGAAACTCTGCATAAAAAAAAGAAAAACAAAGAACAACAGGAAAACTTATACAGTGGCTGTAAGTTTTTGGTCAACTGAGATCTGCTACCCAGAAAAAAAAGGGTGAAAGAAACAAAAACTACCAAAAGATTTTTCCGTTTAGAGAAATGCCTAATCTTATTCTCTGATAAATAAAAGAGTGGATAAAGTGGTTTCCACATGTCTAAGGGCTCAATGGGACACTGAATAAGCTCACAGACTACAAACAGAGACTGGAAGCCAAGCATAGTGGAACAAACAGCTCTCTGGACAGTAAGAGCTATATACAACAAGCCACGGCTAATGATGAACACCATTTTCTTATCTGAGCTATTGCGACTTCCACATAACAAGGGATATATAAGAACAGATCACATCTGTGTCTTAGACTATAAAGAGAAACTCAGGTTTTAAAAGACAAAACTCAATGGTATGTCAACAGTTACAAATGTGTTTCATTCCAAGCACTACAAATCATTAGGCATTTAGCTCTATCCTGCTTAAATGATAAAAGGATATCATGAAAAAAATAAGTTTTTTACGCTACCTTTATCTGTGCTCCCATTTATTTTAGGTAAGAAGTCATCAACTTGTATCCCTAGGATTAAGACAGGATATCATTGTCCAATCAAAGAAAGTATTAACTTTAAACCGGCTTCACGTGTAAGTATGGCATTTCATATTCCTACTCACACTGTATTTGGAAGAAGAGTTGCCATTCTTTATTAATTCAGGCTTAGGAACCTTCCAAAGAACCTCAAAAGAAAGAGGATCCTACTACTGTTCATAGTAAAGACTATCTCAGAGACAGAAACCTCACTGTCTCAGGACTAACAACAATGCCCTCTGGTGGCAATCATGAATATTTTAAAAGGAGATTTTCTGAAAGTGTAACTTTTGAGTCTTGCTATGCAAAATATCTAAAGTAAACAGTGTGAGAAGCAAATGATCTGAAATGTGAACAAGCAAAGGCTAAGTGAAAACATCTTTAAATAAGGTGACACCTACCTAAGCTGCTGCATTCTTTAAGAGTTTTCTCCTGCAGATGTTCTAACCGTACTGTAAAAAACAGTCCAAAAAAAAAAGATATTTCACAGACAAAGAGAACAAAAGTCAAATGAAAACCAATGTCTGTACAGCTAGCTTACCTTGTAAAGCTGTGAGCCTTTCATTGGTGAAGTCATTGTCAGCTTGCAACGCTTCTATTTTTGCCTGGAGCTCCTGCTCTCTTTCTTCCATTTCACCTATTTTAGTCTGTAGTTCTTTCTTTTCGGCCTGTCCCTTCTGTTGGATTTCCTCTTGTTTCCCCTCTGCTGCCTGTTGAGTAGGGATCTTCAGTCACTTCATAAAACCTCACTGTGCTTTGAGAAGCCTAAGGTCAGGACTGACTTCACTTACTTATACTTCTAAGAAATACATTCAGAATTACAGAACATATTTACAAAGCTGACTTCCTAAAGCAAATAGAGGCAGAGACTTACAACACTGACCTGCACTGCGGTCACTACCACATGGCACTGAGAAGGAAAAACTTAGAGCAACCAAGCAGGACAGGAGATAAACACACAGATAAAGAGTCGAAATTAAATCCCCCATGGTTTTCAAGTGGGAAATACATTCCCCAAATTTACTATTAGTACAACTTATTTGTACATTCTAAAATGTAACATTAATTTACAATTATAACTATGTTTGGCTAAACAGATGACGGCACAAACTCTTCAAACATGTTTCTCTTGACAAGACCTCCCTGAGAACTACCAAAAGCACACTCAGCCTTCTCTGGCAAATACCTATCTTGAAGGCACTCAACTAAGGTCAGGGTGATTTTTCTCCTGTTTTAATTAATTTTAAGTTACTACCACAAACTATGTGTTTTACTGTGGCATTCTCCATCCATATGTCTAGACATTTGTCCTCATTCGCACTGCCCTCCCTGATGACTCCTGACCCGCTGGCTGTTTGCTTTCCTCTGCCCAAACACTGCCATATGCGTTCGTGTTGTATGCCTCTCTCCCCCAACCCCACCAGCCCTTCCTTCCCTCTCATGACCCCTTCTAGTCCCATGACCCACCAACAGATATCAGTTACAGTAAATGGATTTTCAACAATTCAGGCACAAGATTCTGAAGCGCCAACGAGATATTATCGTATGGTCTGATGCTTTATTCCAAACGTCCCAGAGGGAACAGCACAGCTGAAGGGAAGCCAAAGCTCAGAGCTTTCCACGCGCCCTTTGAGTTTGTTGCAGCACTAAACAGTCTAAAAGTAAGTCTAAAAAAGCATCAACTATATAGATTTTGTTAATTCCCTTTTTAAAACTTTAATTCATATACACATACACATACATACATACATACATACATACATACATACATACATACATATGCTCGTGTATATGAGTATGTGATGCATGGGTAGGTACACGTGGAGAGCACACCTTTACATGGGCTCCTGGGAATGAATGCAGGTTATTAGGCCTTTACCACATGAGACATCTTACGCAGGCCTTGATTCTCTCTTTTTACAATTTATTATTACTACGTGTATTCTGGCCTTTGCTATTTTTAAATTTATTTACTATAGCTGCTACTATTACTATTATTGTATTATTATTTTTTAATATTTTATTTATTTATTATAAACACAGCCTTCTGCCTACATGCCAGCAGAGGGCACCAGATATCATTCAAGGTGGTTGTGAGCCACTATGTGGTTGGTGGGAATTGAACTCAGGACCTCTGGAAAAATAATCAGTGCTCTTAACCTCTGAGCCATCTCTCCTCTGTGTGTGTGTGTGTGTGTGTGTGTGTGTGTGTGTGTGTGTGTGTGTGTGTGTGTGTGTGTCTACCTGCATGTCTGTGTATTCACTAGTGTGTGTGACACATGGCTAAGTTCTGGTGCACGGGTGCCATGGTCCTCATGTGGAGACCAGAGGACAACTTTGGGGCCTTTCTGTCCTTCCACCATGGTTCTAGAAGCAAACGTAGGTCTTAAAACTTGCATGGCAAGTGCCCACACTCTAAGCCATCTCGCCAATCCATTTCATATTGATTCTCATCTACTTCACAGGTGTATTAGAAGATGCTGTTCTTTTCGATATCATTCCCATCTTGGTCTATGTGATTTTGAAGCAAACACTAAAAGATGACTATTATGAAGCACTGACTATATTTCCATCCCAAGGAAGTAAGTATGTCTGTTTTAAAGGCTTTCAATTCTCAACAGTAATGGAGGTTGGACTAACAGAATACATTTTCTATTTTCACTGTCAATTTGAACTTTTCAATTTTACCAAATTTTAGATCAACAATTATAAACTTTTACACTATTAGTATGTTAGAGACTATTAGCTTAACATGCTTTCAGGTGGATTAAATACAAACTGTGTGGTTTGAATACGAATGTCCCTCATAGGCTTAAATGTTTGAATACATGGTTCCCAGCTGTTTGGTAGGTTTAAGAAATATGGCTCTGCTGGAGGAAGTATGTCTCAGGAGACAGGTTTGAGGTTTCATAAGTCTCAATCCAGTCCCAGTGAGCTCTCAGCGTCCAGTCCTAGTCACCATACCCACTTGTTGCGACACTTCCTCTCCATGAAGCTGATAGAATCTTACTTTCTGGAACCTTAAGCCCTAATAAACCCTTCTTTCTATAAGGTGTCTTGTGCATGGTGTTTTTATCACAGCAGCAGAAAAGGAACTTACATACCTTTAATTTATCAGATAAATCTTTAATTTCATTAACCGCTCCATTATATTTATTGGCTAATTCTCTTAATTCTTCCTGAGTCCGTTCATTCATTTCTTTCAGGTGGGTACATTCATCTTCAGTATTACTCAGACTTCTCTGCAATTCAAGTTCACAGCCAATTCATTTAGAGTAAATGGGTACTTACTTAAAAATTATCATAAATTCAATTTGTAAAAGTGCAGCTATGGACTACTCTGCATCAACATTTGAACTAAACTTATATAAAACTGAATTAAAAGACAAAATAATTTCAGGAACATATATACTAAAACACAACTAAGAATTTCTTTTTTTAATGTTGGGAAGTGGGGGCAGAAAAAGCTACCTATTATTTACACTTTGAAAAAGCCGCTGGGTGTTGGTGGTTCCCACCTTTAATCCCAACACTCGGGAGGCAGAGACAGGAGGATCTCTGTGAGTTCGAGGCCAACCTGGTCTACAGAGCAAGTTCCAAGACAGGTTCTAAAACAATACAGAAAAAGCCTGCCTCAAAAAACCAAAAAGAAAAAGAAAAAAGAAAAGACCAACAGGTTTGACTTTTAGCCTTGAAAATATTTTGAAACCACCAATTCTTTTTCTATCTATTTTTGAAACAATACTAGGTTACTCAGGCTGGCTCCAAATTCACTATGGAGTCAGGCTAGCCTGAAACTTGTGAATCTCCTGCCTCAGGCTCCCAAGTGCTAAGATTAAAAGTATACTCTACCATACTTAAGTCAATAATCCTTAAAGTAACTTTAATACCACATAGCAATTCATCTAATGTGAAAAACAGCAATACAGCTTGAAACTTTACTTGTATGTCAAGTTAATCAACAATGAACATAAAACCCATACTACCTATTATAATAGTATAGTACAAACTATCCAGGTCCTCACACATGCTAAGCACATACTCACTAAGCTAAACCCTCAGTCCCAAGAATCACATTTTGATTTTTCTTAAGACCTAGAAGACATCCCCCAAAAATTCCTAAAGCACAAGATATAGTGTTATTCTAGAGCTGTGATTCTCAACTATGGGTCGTGACTCCTTTGGGGGGAGGGGGTCACCTAAGACCATTGGAAAACATAGATATTTATATTACAATTCATAACAGTAGCAAAATTACAGTTATGAAGTAGCAATGAAAATATTTTCATGGTTGGGGGCCACCACAACATGAGGCACTGTATTAAAGGGTTGTAGCATCAGGAAGGTTGAGAAGCGCTGCTTTACAGGACAGATAAAATGAGTTCTCAGTCATCACCCTCCACTAAAAGAAAGCAAACTGTTATGACAGAATATCAATTCCCGCCAAAATGGTGTCCACCTTTTAATTCCACAACTGGGCAGACAAAAGTAGGCGCATCTCCGTGAGTTCAGGGCCACCCTGCTCTACATAGCAAGCTCCAAATTCAGCAGAGGGACATAGTTCAGTTCCCAGCACATGAAATGGCTCCAAACTGCCTATAATTCCAGATCCACTGAGTCTAAGTCTCAGACTTCGTACACAATGCCACTCACACACACATACCCATGAAGACACTACACACAGACACATAATTTTAGAAATAAATCTTTAAGGACAATAACAGTAAAAGTGGGATACCTCAACTTCTGAAAGTTTTCTAACCACTTCAATCTTCTCCTGAAGAACCCGCCTGAGGGACTCTTTGGCTGTTGTTTCATAGCTGTGTTTATCTTCTTGCAATGCTATAAGTTCCTTCCGTAAACTATCTTCTGTTTGAGTCTAGAATAGAAGGTACTTATATTACACCTAAGTTTGTTTTCTTTGAAAACTACTTATGCTCTGAAAGAAATAAACACATTACAATATTCTATATGTTAAGATATCCCCAAAAACAAATGTTGGCCTACTATTAACTAAATCAATATTTCAAAGTTGTATCAGTCAATTATGCATTCAGAACTTATACTAATTGCAATAGAAAAGAGTTAAAGGCAATAATTTCTCTCACATATTAAGATTAATTACTCGTATTCTGTGGAAGTCATCATATTTCCGTCTGTGAACAATAATCATTACTATCAAAAGCACCAAACATTTTAGAACAATGGCTAAGAAAAGGTAGTAAGAGTATCAGGAGGAAAAGGGAAGACTCCAGGTCTGGAACAAGAAATGTGTGAGATGAGCACAGTGCATCCTCTCTAGTATGACCACAGGAAGCTATCAAAGTCAGTTTAGCCTTCAAAGGTTTTCTCAGACAAAACTCTAGATAATGTGATCATGAACAAAAAACAGCTACTACAGAGTGAAACATAACAAATACACTTAAACCTAAGCAAGGGAGAAAGCACCTCATTGTGATTCACTGCTGGATAAAAAGGCAATCAATCTATTCTGTTTCATCTAGTAAATAACGGGAGTGAGACTCATTCTGTTTTTTTTCTGTAGAAAATGTACTTCAAGGTAACAAAATGGTTCATGAGGGAAAAATTGTCTTTGAAGATGTAATCCAGTTAAGTCAATGAAGTAATGATAGAATAATATCACTGTGTATAAAATCTTTAATGAAATAATGGACCCAGTGAGGAATCATTAATGAATGACAAAACCCTAAAAGGAAAGCCATCGAGTCATTATGCTGTCTTTGATTTGATTGAAGAACAACACCATTCACGAAATGTTGTTGGCAAAGAAAAAGAAAAAAGCAAGTACCACAACAAATAAACAAAACCAAATATCCATTATTTTATTCTCATAGAAAGAACTAAACAAAAAGGGTTTCAGTAATACTCTAGACTGAGTCACATTCCAGAAGGCAAATCTCTCTTCAATAAATACCAACTACAATAGAAACAGGAATTAGAACTACACATGAGTATGTACTATACAATTCTTTCTACATATATGTATGCTTGAAATTTTTTATGACAAAGATATAAGGAATTATGGAATTATATAGAGGTTTTAGCATACACTCAAATAACAAAGAGATGAAATTACAGAAGTGCATTCTTTCTTATATACCTGAAATTAAATACCTACTTTGGAGCATGCCTGCAACTGATTTCCCATAACTTCTAACCGTGATAAGAGTCTATCTTCATCTATTAAAGCCTGTTGAATAAAATCAGATATAAATAAAAACCCAGAGTAATAAAAAAGCATGTATAACAGATTCTATTGTCAACATAATCAAGAAAATTGGAAAAATCAATCAAAACCTGCTACAAAACGCTGTCTCAGCATTTGTTCTTTAGTTGAGGAATAACGTTACTTTCATTTGCCAATATCTTAGTTTTATTTCATAAAAAACTATTAAATTGTATCTTAAATATGAAGTAAATGAAATACCTGCCAACTGGTATCTGAAGCCTCTTGGGTGATGGCTAATAGACGCTGAAGTGTAGCTAACTTCTGTTCCAACATCTGTTCCCGATGTAAGGCCTCCTAACATAAGTCACAAAAGAAATTCTAATGAACTCAATTAGCAACATTATTCTTATGTAGAATAACATTCAGTGCAGTTTGAATATAGTCTTATATTGCACCACATATGTAGCTCATTATTTTAGCCCATCTACAGGACTGCAAGTACAAATGTAATAAACTTTTCCCTGCATGGAAAACACGATACTCATTTCTGTTTTCTTTTCAAATAATTTACTAAAAGAGTAAGTTTCAAAATGTAGATTAGAAAAACTAACAAAATGTTTCTGCTTCTGTTTATATCTCATAAATACACATACGTTTATTAAATATTTACATATTCTGGAACAAACATATTTCAAACTAAGGCAAAACAATCTGGTCAACATCAAAACTCCCTACAACGTGACATCTAGAGCAGTAACTAACAGCCTTCAGTTTCCCTTTCTGAAGGCTGTGGAATTACATGTGCATATATTTAAAGGAGACTGCTCACAGCTTTATGGCACTCTCAGGTGTTCTTATTCTCTCTCTGAATACCTAAGAGCCCACTACAGGGAGGGGTCAACGGAACACATGAATATGATGAAAGATACTAGCGAGCAAGACTGCTCTATAGTTAACATCTGACAGCTGCTAACAGCACCCCTCACGCTGTGAAGGTGAAGCGCTCACATCATCTAACTGTGGCTTTGGCACTCATCTTCTGCCATTCCTGCAATATCCAAAGGTCACTTACTAACATTCTATCTTTGAGCAACCTCAAAGAGAAGCACATGCTTCAAATATGGCACTTAAGGTTTAATACATTAATTTATTGCTCTCCACATCCTTGGTAGACCAATGACTAGAGAAAAGCTGGCCTAATGTAGACTTAGAAGTGCTTTGTTTTAATGTAGACTAAGGAATCTAATAAAAACACCATCACTTGATAATCCGTATTAAAGTGGCTATTTACCATAAAGTTCCTGAATCAGTCCTAATATCCAGGAAATAACAGATACAAAACATTTTACTGATAAACAAAGCCACAAGCCAACCAAAGTTTTATAAACTACCTCCACTAGAAGGCATCATTACACCTTTTAAAAATTTCATTTCCATTAGATTCTTAATTCTGAACCAAATTTCAACAAATGTAGTTCTCCTGAAAATTGTCTTTTAGATCTAAGGTATGAAATGCATCTATTTCAACTATTATTCAAAGGGTTCACAGCTTACATTAAAATTTCATCAATTCAATAAGGGTATTCAAGGAGAAGAAAAGGAGGCGGGAATTCCTGGCTAAGAGTTGGCAAATGTAAGTGAATGTTCAAACAGCTGGTGAAGGGAGAGAAGGAATGAGAGGTAGAGCAGGGGAGCGTGAGAGTCCCAGCCAAAGATGACAGCAACCACAGACATAGAATCAGGCCAACCATTTAATCTACATGAACAATGTTATCTCTCAGGTCAGAAATGAAGAATCAACTAATCTTAAAACTTCCTCCCACCTCTCAAAGAGACCTACAAAAACTAACAACATCATCCCACCGGATGAAAATGACCAATGACATTCACATCATATAATTTCCATTATGGGCACTATTCTAAGTGCCTTACTTATATTAATTCATAGACCCTTCATGGGGAGAGGTGGTGCTACTTATCAATTGCCTACATGAGGAAAATGAGGTCTAAAGGCTTTTGTTAAACTTTCTTAGGAAGCTGATGGGTGGTGGCACAGGTCTTTAATGCCAGCACTTGGGAAGCAGAAGCAGGCAGATCTCTGTGAGTTAGAGGCCAGCCTGGTCTACAAGGCAAATCCCAGGACAGCCAGGACTGCACAAAGAAACCCTGTCCAAAAAAACCAAAACCCAAAAAAAAAAAAAAAACCTTTCTTAGAAGATCAGATATTAAAGCCAGGGATCAAGTCTAGCTAAACTTGATCAATTCTGGCTAGAAAAGCCCATGCTTTTAACTATTTCGTTGATGTGCAAATGTGTAAAATCATTTTCTACATGGCAGTGCATGGTATGTGGTGGAATATGAGATCTAATTAATATGCTGTTTATTTCTGTAGTTTTCCAGATGCACATGCCCTTTACTGCCAACTAACAACTACAACCACAACTAACAAAAGGACACAGGGTCACTGAAGTCAGTTCAACACTTTTAAAGACAACAAAGTCTGCACAAATGAAACCATTAACTGGAGGTCACAGAATTGAGTAGAAAAACCAAGTTTAAAATCAAAACCACCATTCCTAAACTTCTAAACCAAAGGTTTTTTTTTTAACCATACTCCCTCATGGTAATCCCCCTAAAAACCCAAAGCTATAACCCTGCCCAAATAAAAGAAAAAATTAACACTTCTCTGCTTTAGAGTTGTATGTCTTTTTAAATAAAGAATTAAGTACACCAGGAGGCCATTCCAAGAAGCTGCCCTGTGCTCTGGAGTCTGTCGAACTTCTCTAAGCTCAGACTAGGAGCAAATCACACTGCAAATGTGACACTGAGTAAATTCTTAGATCTTCCTTCCCCTTAGTTACTCCTCATGAAAACAAGAATGAGACCTCTACAGTCTTTACATAACAGTGAAGACTATTCCAGAGATTAAATGAATCAACATGGATAAAGTGCTAGAATGGAGCATGACATATAATAAATTCTATAAAATTACACACTATTATCATATAGCCAAAACTTGGAAAAGTTTAATTTTATTTAAAAATCACCTATGAATAAAGGATTACTTTGGCTAGGTGGTGGTGGTGCAGGCCTTATACCAGCACTTGGGAGGCAGAGACAGGTAGATCTCTCTGAATATGAGGCCAGCCTGGGCTTCATAGCTAGTTCCAGGACAGCTAGGGTGGTTACACATAGAAACCCTGTCTGGGGGCAGGGGACACACGACACAATGGGGGGGCGGGCACAAAACAAAAGAGTTACTTAGGATCTCCTTGTACTGGAAGAAAAACATTTCTCTTGCGCATTAACTTATCTTCTCTAGACCCAACAATCCTGACTCCTTTTTCTTCTGGAGATCTATTTTCAAGCCTTCATCCTTCCTCAAAGTTATTTCCTGTGCACTTGTTTCCAGCCAATATTTTGATTCTGTACTAAGTTACTTTCAAAGACTAAGGATTCTCAAGATTTCCTCTTACCTGTAGATACTGAGAAAGTTGGAATAGTTCCTGAGAATACATACTTGGAGTGTTAGCAGCAACCTAGAAATAAAATAACATGATATCAATAATCACAGAAAACATTACATTAAAAAGGTCACCGGGTGAAGGTGGTGCACGCCTTTAATCTCAGCACTCGGGAGGCAGAGGCAGGTGGATCTCTGTGAGTTCAGGCCAGCCTGGTCTACAGAGCGAATTCCAGGGCAGGCTCTAAAGCTACTCAGCGAAACCCTGTATTGCAAAACCATAGATAGATGGATAGATGGATAGATAGATAGATAGATAGATAGATAGATAGATAGATAGATAGATAGATAGATAGATAGACAGACAGACAGACAGACAGACAGACAGACAGACAGACAGACAAGCCACTAAACTAACAAGATGGCTCAGCAAGCAAAGGTCAGCTTAACAACTTCAGTTTAATCCTCTGCTGGATAGTTTTATGACACAGGGTAAGTCATCTGAGAGGAGGGAACCTCAGTTAAGAAGATGCCTCCATAAGATTAAGCTGTAGGCAAGCCTGTAGAGCACTTTCTCAATTAGTGATCAGTGGCAGAGGGTCCAGCCCATGGTGGTGGTACCGTCCTTGGGCAGGTGGTCCTGGGCTCCTCTGCCTTGGTTCCTACTCTAGGTTCCTGCCCTGTTTGAGTTCCTGCCCTGACTTCCTTCAGTGATGAACACTGATTTAGAAGTGTAAGGCAAATAATCCCTCCCTTCTCCAAGCTGCTTTTGGTCGTAGTGTGTATCACAGCAATGGTAATCTTAACCAGGACAACCCCCATACCCATGCGGTAAAGGAAGAAGCACCTCCTGCAAGTCGTCCTCCCATCTCCAGATGCACAACGACCCGCACCAAAATAAAAATGCACTTAGAGAATTAAAACCAGCCAATTCCATGAAGTGTCTATTTTCCTACACATATAAATATATAAATGTTTTCATTGATCTAGTCTTAATTCTCAATTACTGTGCAAATTAGTTCTCAAGGTATTTCTGCTGTATGTCTAGAATTCCATAGACAGTATTATACTAATTACTTCAGATTTATAGACAAGATGATGAAGCAAGTATTACTTGTGAAACTTTCCTTTGTAAGTCAATTCACGAGCCTTTTTATAACCGAGAAATAACTCCTAATCACTAGTCATGTTTTTCCTAAAAATTCAGCATCAATTACTTCATCAACATGTCAACAAGTCACAATTCATTTAGAAATAACAATCTTGAAAATGTTACTTGGAAGCATGTGTCAGGATAGAGGATACATAAAGTATCACTCTTTACTTATTGAAAAACAAAAATTAAGATTCTAACATTTTATCCAATGGTCAGAGACAATGAAAAACTTACTATTGTATGTAAATTTTAAGAAAAAGAAAATAATTATGTTTAAAAAACTACAAGTCAGCCTAACTGCTCAGAATCCAAAAGCATCAAAATTTGCTTCAATGGGGGTTTTTCAGGACTATGGGATACAGAACCATGTCCACTAAAACAGAAAATGAAGGACACATGCTGTCGTATTTACCCACATCCTGAACACTAATAAGTGCTACAAGAATGCATACTTATCCTTTTTCATTGTTTGAAACGGATCTTGTTACACAGCCGTTCCTGGCCTGGTACTACCTTCCCCAAGCTACCCTCCTATCGCAGCCTCCAAGCACTAGAAATACAGGCATACACTACTTGCTATGCCAATTCATTAATAATGTTATATAAATCACTTATTAAGCTCAGAAAGTATGTTTTCTAATATTCAGACTAAAAGAATTACCATTTTTCTTTTTAAGATGAAAATCAACAAAATCATTTACTTCTAAAACAGTTTTTGGTACCAGTGAAGTTGATGATAAATTACTTTCATTCCTAAAACAAGACTCTAAGAAATAACTTCAGTTTAAAGTAGGTAACCATTGTGAATCTAAACAAAGGGAAAAATGCAAAATGTTTGTCCTCACATTTTAGTTACTATACACACACACACACAGAGACAGAGACAGACAGAGACACAGAGAGAGGCAGACAGAGACAGAGACAGAAAGACAGAGACAGAGTCAGAGACAGAGAGAACCCAGAAGACACAGCACTGCACCTGTAATCCCAGAACTTGGGAGGGGAGGCAGGAAGATCAGAAGCAAACAAACCACCTCTCTGGCTACACGGTGAGTTCCTAGCCACCCAGGGCTATGTGAAAGCCAGTCTAAAAAACAAAACTCCCAATATTCATAGTAATGTCAAATAGGAAAAGTAAAAAGTCTGCTTCTGCTATTTGATCACACACTGTTTGTTATTTAGCAATGACACCTATAGTCTCAATGCACCATTACTCCTAAACAAAAGAAAACTACTCCAGCAATGAATTACTGCAATTTCTAAGCAGGTGTACAGTGGCATTAAAAGAATAATTTCTCTAAGTTCTTATTTCAGAGCCGCTTTCCTGTATGGGCAAATACTGAGTGAACGTGGATAGAAAGCTTTGGGAAATTCCTAGACAGAGCTGTACTTCAGAATAAAAGGTAAGAGTTAACATCACTTACCTCTGGCTAGGCACAAAGCCAGGTGCATTTAGTCTGCTCAGACAGTGGTTTACCTGGGCTACAAAAGCTTTTTCCAAAGAAACATCCATTCCAAATTCTCTACACAGTAAGGTTATATTAACTACATAGCCATATTTACTTTACTATAAAAACAGAAGTTTTTTTTAGGTTAAACATATTAAATAAAAATATTTCAGTGAAATATTTCAAAGTTTGGAAAACAATCATTCACTACTTACTTTGTCAACAGGACTTGGTAATGGAGCATGGATGACACTGAAAAGTAAAATTTAGAATTTTTATCTAATTTCCTGAACATGGAGGAAATGATACTAGAGCACCAGAATATCTTGTCAAAAAATTCATGCATTTGTTCTCATATAATTAAAAGGATGTAAACTATATTTCATTCCTTCATAAACATATAACATTCTTAAAAAACATAAATTTACTTTTTACTCATTATTTTTCTTAAATCAGGTTTCAATTCCAAAATGTATTAAACATCTTTTGAGCACCCACTATTTGCTGAGTGCTGTGATGACTCCCTTATTGTTACCATATCAATATACTGAAGTACCTTTTAAATCATGCATTTTATTGTAACATGTAAGTTATCAATAAATAAATACTCCTGTGCAGAAATCTTTAGGAAGCGAGAGTTCAGTTGGAAAGGAAGGTTATAATCTGGAAAGTTACTCTAGTGAAGAACAAGTTTAGCTGTCAAAACGGTGACAACTATTCTTCACCTAGCCATCCTGGGATGAAATCCAAGTTTGCAGGTGTGTATGACACTGAATTCAGTATAGCAAACAGCAGGTCATTAACTGGCACTAATTTCCTTTGGGGCCTGATAAAGAACTCTCGACAGAAAAGCAGCAGCAGTTAGGCATATAGGCTAAGAAAGTAGACCAAGTAGACCAAACTGGCTCTACTAACCAGCTAAAAACTAATCAAGATAGTCCCCATGTCCCTAGAAAGGGGCCCTATATAGCATTGTTGTAAGTATTAAATGTGTTCATATAAACAAGTAGCTTCAAACAATGCCTTGGAATAGTAACCGACCAATTGCTACCTTGTACTCCCATGAGAAACGCGCAGCTGAGGAAGCCAGAGTGTGTGGAAGCGGGTATAAGGATGAAGAGCTAGGCTGCCTGCCGCCCACGTCCCCACACTTCACGTCTTGGGAACTAAGCCAGTGACAACAGATGGACGGCTGACTGGGTACAGTCCTCAGACTCAATTGGCAAAGCTTGTGTCGCTGATGAGAGCCTGGCCTGGGACGGCGTAGCAGTGGAGGGTTAGGTACCAGCACCCATTGTCTGCACACCAGGGTTAAGTACCAGCACCCATTGTGTGCACACCAGGGTTAAGTACCAGCACCCATTTTCTGCACACCAGGGTGCCTTCCACAGACGTCAATCAACATGTATAAATTTTTACTGTATATTTGATTACATGTCTGTGTCTCGGGAATTAAGATCAATTCACCCCTGCATCCACAAAGCGTATCTCAAGGCTTAACAAACTTGATAGTTAGTAAAGGTTTTTCAAAACTTGTAACTACAGTATTCTTTCTCACTCTATAAAACTAAAATGGATGTTTTAAATATAAGCTAATTTTTCTTGACTGTACAGGCAATATACACTGAAAATGAAAAATATGTTAGCATAAAAAAAACAAAATTAATCCTAGCACCCAGAGATAACCTTTTTTGTATATAGTCTTTTTTCCTGACAATATGTATGTATAAGGACATTAACTCAAAAAACCCTAAATGAAAACAAATAGACATTTTAAAATGTGGTTTTGTTTGTTTGTTTTGTGATCCAAAAAGAAATTCTTCTGTCCTCATGAAACCTGGCTAACAAGCAAATGCCTAAAAAGTCAAATAACACATTCTATAAATAAAATTGTTTTTACAGAAACTATATTGGATATAGGTATATTTTGTCTGGATAGTTTAAAAACTTTGTGTGTGTATAAAAAGTGTCACAAGACAAGGTTAGAAAATAGAGCCTTATTTAATGCTGGGGTTGTGAAGTTATAGGCAACTTCTATTTCTGTTGTTAGAAAACTATAAAATAGAAGAAAAACTAAGAAACAATCAGAACTACTGTTGAAATCTTAAAACCCCTATACACTATTTATACATTGGACTTGGCATTCTTGATGTATTCAACCATTTAAACTGACTCAGCAAGTCCTATTCCAATGAGACTCTGCATAAAAGCAAGGGACACAGTTGAGGTTGCCCTCTGCTCCGCACACACGCACACAACGAACATTCACACCCAGAGACAGACGGACGGACAGACGGACGGACAGACAGACGGAGAGGGAGAGGGAGAGGGAGGACGGAGAGGGAGAGGGAGAGGGAGGACGGAAAGGGAGAGGGAGAGGGAGAGGGAGAGGGAGAGGGAGAGGGAGAGGGAGAGGGAGAGGGAGAGGGAGAGGGAGAGGGAGGACGGAAAGGGAGAGGGAGAGGGAGAGGGAGGAGAGGGAGAGAACAAAAAATAGTTAAAGGGATTTGGGGAAATGAAGGAATTTACTGAAAAGTCTTCAAAATCTTCACATATGGCAGATGACATAGTTTATTAGGTAAAGCATTTGTCAGTCAAGTCTGAGAGCCTGAATTTGACTACAAGAAAGGTAGTGCATGTGTGAAACCCCAACACTCTTTCAGCAAATAGGGAAATGGAAAGTTAAGAATCCCCAGGAGCTTGGAGCCTAAGGTACATGGTGATAAACACAAAACCCTGCCTCAAACAGGCTGGAAAAGAAGCACCAACAGCAACGTTGTCCTCTGACTACACACGAGTCATACATATACGTACACATACACACACACACACACACACACACACGCGCGCGCGCGCACACACACACAGATAAGAAGACCCACATATTCTAAGAACACAGAAGTCTTACATGGGTGCTCAAACCTTTTAACTCTATCAAAAATGACCTCGGATCAACTGCAAACACTGGTCTTTAAAAAGCTGTATGTCGTTTGGTGAATTGATTACTTGTTCTATGACTGAAAGCTCAGGTCTTGACCCATAAAGGTTGTTATGTTGAAGTTCTTTACGTTTATACTACAATTTTAATAAAGTATAATTACATTTTGATAACCTATAATTAAAATAAATGGTATTTTACATTTCAGATGTTTTACAATCTCTGCTTTACATCATCTGGCTATAAAACTAAAGAAGGAAAAACTATGGTAGGTCCTAAGAGCAGCATACAATACGTAATTCTAATGACAGACAGGAGAGACTGTTACAGAAAAGGGACCCACTCTATCCGCTTCATCTTCCCCTTTCCTACTCACTATTCAGCTTTTCCTTAAACTCTAGGTAATTTGGCATAATCAAAACAGTGTAAACCATAGACTGTAATAACAGGAAGCTCCTTTGAAGCTTTAGCATTTAGTATATTCAAGGCTTTCCCTAAATAAAAACAAACAAAAAGAAGCATTAATATTTAAATACTGCCCAGCACCTTTCCCTGTTTCACAATGATAATCTGTAAAAAGCACAGGATGTACTTAAATTCTATACTTCATGACAAGTTCTGATACTTCTTCATATAAAACATAAAATACAACCTTGGGGGAAATTCTTCCAACTCCCATAAAAAAAATACTAATTATATTGACATCTTCAAGTTCTGGAAGAATATGACACTGACATTAACTTCATAGGCAACCACAGTATAAAAAATTCTATAGAAAGTATACACCAAAAGGAACACAGTTATCATTCTCCTATAACTAAATATCGCAAAAAACAACTAACGATCTATTCAAATATATACTGTAAAGTTAAATTTGGAAGTAAAACAACCTTTACCTATGATATATTATTTTATTACTTGATTTTTAAATAATATAAGTACTTGAAACTGAAATATAATATGCCACAAAGTACTGTAGCAAATTTTTAACATATTACAGCAATCTTGTAGTTTTAACGGTATAACATCGCTAAGAATATTACCAACTAAGATAATTAATCCAAAACTTCACAGCACTAAAGTATACTCACTCTGAGCGGAGCCGGGCTTCCATACCATCTGGTAGAAAAAGTTTTATTGTGGAAACAATACACCCATGGGTAACTGGTTAAAACAAATAAAATAATTGTTTAAAAATATGAAGCTTGGTGGGTCTCATAGCTAAACTTGTATTTCATTCTTAAAAATAGTAACTTCTAGAAAAGTAAATAAATCTCGTGGTTTAATGACAGTATCTACTACCTTAGAAAAACTTCCAGTTCCTTAACAATGAGAAGCCAACTGCCCAGTGTGCAGAAATAGTAAGAGCAGAAAAGGATAAGACAGTTTTGTCCCAGTTTGCTGACATCACACCTAGTCTACTGCCCTTTAAAAGGTAGTCCTTATCTGCATTCTCCTGTCTTCAATCTGTCTCCCAACCACACCTCATAAGACCTTAACGTCCTTTATGACAGTTTCGGACATGTTAATCACCCTCAGGCTTACCCATGTTGTGGGCAAGAACAAAAGGCTGCTGGAGAGTGGCGGTGCCTCTCTGGTTCCTCCAGTGTGCAGTCGCTACGACTCACACGGGATGCTCTCCAGCGCAGCTTTCACTTGGCTGCTGTTCCTCCCTCCCCAATACCTTTTAATGAAGTCACTGCAGCCTCTCTGTATACAACTCATAAGATTGATCTCTCTCCTTTTCCTACTGAGGGTTTAGAGAGACAAATCTCCAACATACAGTAACTGTACAGATCATTGTATCTTTCACAGGAAAAAATACTTCCTAATTTAAAGACTGATAGTTTTGATTTCTCTGTTCTAGAATACTGAAAAATCGATAGTTCGACAAGTTTGCTTACTCAACTGACTTAAAGCTGATGTGGGCAGACAAAAACACAGTGTGTAATGATTTTAAGAGTAGTGCCTACTGTCAAAACAGTGATCACTGAGTCTTACAAAGAAAATTGGAATTTATTTATTTATACTTCAATAAACTATTTTAACAATAATTATTGCTTTAGGGATATAATATGTTGAACAATTACAAACCATAGTATCAAGATGGTAATACAAAGTAATGTGGATGTCATCTGGAAATGTACATTAAATTTAAGGAATTTAGCACCGTCTGGCCAATATTTGTTTTTATTAACTGACTATATTTTAACACAGACAAAGAACAATCTACTGGACAGTCTCTTCCTCACTTCTGCCTGGAATATCCACCATTGCCATGAATCATTTGGCTTCTTCCTTCCTTTCTGCTGCGAATAGTCTCTTAGACACAAGCAGGTTACATGCAGTCTCCAAACATCTTACTGTTTATGACCCCATTTTTACACATCCTAACTGTGATGGTCTTTACCTCCTCAATAACATGGTCAAATGCTATTTTTCTCTTCCAGTAAGCAGTGCTCCTGCCTTGAGTTCCTACCCTGATTTACCGGCATAGTGAAATACAAGTTCCTCCCCGGGTTGCTTTGGCCATGGTGTTTGAAGACAACAATACAAGGCCCAAGACACGCAGTAAGTACCCAAGACACCACTGAACCAGTCTGAAGCATCTCTCCAGGTCCCTGTGCTGGAATTCTCACTTCTCAGCTGGAGTAAGAGTTTCATCCAACTCCAGAGTGAACAGTCCTTCCCCTCGCATGCTGTATTAGTTTTCCCTCAGGTCCTGTCTCACTCCCATGCCATACCTCTAACCTCCAGCCCTTCAGACTTTTGCACAACCTCTCTCTCTCTCTCTTCCCTTAGAACCATCCTCCGTCCTCAGATCTTTATGCCAAAATCTCTCATCTCACGCCTTATCCTCCAACTTCCTTTTCTCCCAAAACCACTCACTCACTCCTTAGAATATTGCTGCCAACTGTGCCCCCTTACTCAAAACAGCATCTCATCCTTTGACTCTTACCTCATTCTTCTGATCCTAACTGTTGCTACAGAGGGGTCAAATTAATCAAAATATTCCTCCATTCTAGCAGTAAGATCCCCACTGCGTAGAACCTGAACCAGTGATTTGGTCCTAATTACACAATTAGCACCTAACTCTTTGTGGTTCCTGGCATTTTGTCCCAAATAGTCACAAAGAAGGCAGGTATTATAAAATTTATGACTTCAACTCCTGTAAGTACTGTGGTGATATTTTGCTTATGATCTAACGAATAAAGTTTGGCTGAAGATCAGAGTGCAAAGCTAGCCACACTAGTCAGCCACAGAGGCCAGGCAGTGGTGGTACACATCTTCAATCTCAGCATTCAGAGACAGAGGCAGATGGATCCCTGTTAGTTCAAGGCAACCCTGAACTATAAGAAATTGATCCAGTCCAAAAGAGAAACAGAGCTCACACAAAGGTGATCTCAGCACTTGGGATCCCACACCTTTAACCCCAGCACTAGAGAGGACTATAAGGCCGGAGGAGACAGGAGCACAGTGCCGTCTGAGGAGCAGTTCAGTTGGAAGCAGTCTGAGGTTCGGTGGAGGCAGATACAGTCTGAGGACAAGATCGCCCTTTGGGTCTTATCACTGGTAGAGTGAGAAATCTAAGGGGCCGGCTGCTTTGCTTTCCTGATCTTCAGCTTTAACCCCAATATCTGTCTCAGAGTTTTTATTACTAAAAACAATGACAATTAGTGTTATAAAGTACCACTAATTAAATGCATAAGTTCTCCAAAAAAATGTGGAAATGGAAAAAGCAGCACAGCTATTTTGAAAGGGGAAGGGCATTATCAGGGACAAAAGAAGACAATGGGTGAATATAACCAAAATAGTTCATATACATGTATGAAACGTCATAATGAAACATTATTATGTCTAATTAAAATATGCTAAGAAAAAACTTTTTATAAACTTACAACTCAAAGAATAATAGGTGGATGAGTTATAGAAGAAAACTGCAGTACCAGAACCAATGTGTGATACATTGCATCAGGTCATGACATAGGTCATCAAATGGACTGATAGCCAAATCAACAAAGTGAACCAAGGGCTGATACAGCCTCGGCAGAGAAGTTCGTGTCTAAGTACAGCCAACCTTTCTGTGAAAAGACTTCACGTCAACTACATACACAGAGCAGAAAACTTAGTGATCTTTTGTATTTTGCAACAGGTCAATATTTAAAATAACAGGCATGATTTATTATTTGTATCAATCAATTCAGTACAGTAGAATTTCCCCAAACATATTGCTAAAAAGTGTTAACCAAAAAGGAATTAGGAGCTGGGCAGTGGTGGTGCACACCTTTAATCCCAGCACTCTGGAGGCACAGGCGGGGGGTGTCTCTGTGAGTTGGAGGTCAGCCTGGTCCAAAGATAGAGTTCCAGGACAGCCAGGACTACACACTGCACAGAGAAATCATGCCTTGAAAGACCAAAAAGGAAAAGGAAAGGGGGCAAGGCTTGGGGTCAAACGAGTTTGTGAAACACCATGTAAAATAAGTTTCAAATGCTTTTATATGTATTAATTCTGAGCTTTCTTTGGGGGTGAGGAGACCAAGCAAGAAAGCTGAGAATATTGCTCCATGGTAAAGCAATTGCCTCGCATAAATGCAAGGCCGTATGTTTAATTCTCAGGTCAGAAACGCAGCAGGAAGATACACTTTTCCTGCTTATCTGGCACCAGCCCCACCCCTTACCCTCTCTCAAAAACACTTATAGAGAGTCTGATATTATGAAGGAATACTTAGGATAACAATAGTCTAAAGAAGTCTATAAAATATTTTAAACATATTGAGCTCTCAAAATAACCACAAAAATTCTTACTATACTTCAAACTGGAGGACTAAATAGTAAAGCATGTAATCTAAATAGTTTGTACAGAAGGGAAAGGGAACATCCCAACATTACCACGTTAAACACACACACATATTCTAAACCACATACAAATTTCAACAGTGTTAAACATGAAGAACAGGCATGTCCAAACGCAAGAAACAAGGTGTGTGGAAGCACTATTGACAGTGACTGTGGATAGAGACTACTGAACGCTACAGTAGCACTGAGAGCTGTTGTCGATATAGCCATTTGTCTTGGCTTTGAGATCTAGTTACTGTGTGGTATGCACTCTGCTTCTTTTTGTCTCTTCACACAAATGCCTTCAACCCAGTGCTAGTCTATACTAAGCCTGAAGAATCCCAAGAAGACTGGAAACAGCAGGAGGGACAACAGAATCATTAAAAACCCAAGAAATATTTTAAAACACAAGATCTGAATCAGGTATTAATATTTCTAGACTGAAATGATTTCAATTAATTCATTTTTACCACTTAAAATAATTCTAAAAACTTAGTATCTTTAAATTTTTTACTTTACAAGGTTTCTACTTCTTAGGTTAAGAGTTGAAAAAGCAGAGAAAGATAGGCCAATCAACAGTGTTTTTGTTTTAAAATTGAATTAGTATTCTATCATACTGTTTTCTCTTGAGAACTGTGTATCGGTCATCACAAAGCTTTCACCCTTCAACAACTTCTGTAAACAGATGTGTTAGTGCATAGGTGTTTATCTATGTGTGGACATTACACTTGAGTGCAGGTGCCTGAGGAATCCAGGAGAGGGTGTCAGACACCCTGGAGCTGGAGTCAACCTGTGGCAGAGGACCTGATGAGGGCACTGGGAACTGAACTCTGGTTCTCTTTAAGAGCAATACACATTCCACCAATGGGACCAGGGGACCAGGTAAACCGGGCCCTGTATCCGGGCCTGCCTTCCAGTGCCTGGACACTGCCTGGACACTGCCACAGAGCCTACCCTCCCAGCGGGAGCAACGCACCCCAAATTCCTGGTCTTCTCTTCCACCAACAGGACCAGGGGACCAGTGCCTGCAGACTGCCAGTGAGCCTTCCCTCCCAGCGCTATGCACCTCAAATTCCCAGTCTTCTTCTCCATCCACGGGACCAGGACTAGGACCAGGAAGAGAAGAACTACCAGAGTATTGGACTTGCTTGCACCCACCGAAAGGGAACTCTGGTCCCCTAACCACCAGACCAGTAAGGGTCTCTTTCTGCACCCACTAGAAGAAGGGATGGGAAAGAAACAATACAAAAAAAAAAAAAAAAACACTCAGCAACAGGAAAACAAATAGGACACTGCCAGATTCTAGAGACTCCACACCAGCAAGACCT